CGACAAGAAGCTGAGCAAGCTCTCGCGCGTCCTGCGCGACGCTAAGCCTGTCGGCTGCAGAAAGGGAGGCCTTGTAGCCACTGTCGGGTTCCTCAGTCCCTTAGGGTTTAGGGTTTAGGGTTTAGGGTTTAGGGTTTAGGGTTTAGGGTTTAGGGTCAACTTTCCATCACCGAGGTTAATCGGCGGCCGGGGGGGCTCCATGAGTAAGGCGCGCCATCCGACCAGCCGTGCGCATGATCTGATGATCTTCAGGCTGAAGTCCTTGGAGGGCGATAACCCTGGCAGCTTCTCAAGGAAGGTCTCAGCCCATTGAAGCTCGGCCTGTGGGGAACACCCCCCCCCCCCACCTACCCCCCAGCATGTGTGTGTCGCTGAACGACGATGAACGAGCGGATGCGACGGCGGAGTTAGGCTTGCGAAGCAAGTTAGCGGCCGCCCTGCTATTTGTACCCTCCTACTTGGAGGTTTATGGCTTAAACGTAGGGTTATAAGTAGGGGGAGCCATGGTTCGAACCGTATTTTGGGGTACTTCTAACCCCACTTCTAGATACCCACGAAGCTTCAAGTAGGTGAAGCTTGCCTCGCTGGTAGCTCCTTTGGGATTTGGGTTTTAAGAGCGCCAGACGTGCTCACCTGCGTGGTGAACCTGCCATGCGTACCTCGGTGGTCAGACTCAGGTTTCTGATGTTTTCTGCGACGAAAGGGCGACAGGGGCCGAGTTTGTTTCGTTTGCCTGCGGACTTCGAGCTTTATGTCAGGGCCTACATGTTTAGGGTTTAGGGTTTAGGGTTTAGGGTTTAGGGTTTAGGGTTATAATGACTCCTTGGGCAAGGGCCGAAGGCGAACCGAACACATATCACGCGTTTCACACTCTAACAGCACACTGCCGCGGACTGCCGCGTCTGGGAAAAAAAGGGTCCAGGCTAGGGTCAATTTCAGGAGGGTTGCTTCAGAGGATCTAAGGGGCCAACCTAGGGTTGGTTTTTTATGACATGCAAGGACATTCAAGGGGTTCATGACATTGCATGTGCACATTCCACAAGGTTCGTCACATGACATTCCTTCTGATTCTGGCATCTGGCACAGTTCTGGCAAGCCGAGGTTGTATGTCAAGAGACTCCCAATTCGTTGGCTGAGCAATTTGCCAAGCCATACATTTGCCACGGCATCTCTCTGTTCTACGATGCTTCGCAGGAGAGAAGCATCTAGCATTTCATATTGACAGGCTTGGGCTCGCTGCGAAGATCTTGTAGGAATGCATCATATCTGCAATGCAACTTCTCACGGCAGTCACACCACAGAGTGAAGAGTTCCCATACCTTGAACACAACACAAAACTTCTCGCAGCAAATGGCACAAGTCTGAGACTTTGCAAGCTTGCGAGGCCTCTTTCATTTGCCGGCCTTGCTTGCGACTTTGTACTTTGTTTCCAATCGTTTGAGGCCCTTCTCCGCGGGTTCAGCCGCCACCCACGTAACACACTTTGCGCCTGCTTGCACATTGCCATCCGTAGCTTTGCCAAGTCGGTGAAGGTAGGGCTGAAGCATGCTCAAACTCTAGTGGCAACTGGATGGCTGGCGAATCCGTGGCATCCTGGGTCATCGCACATTCGGCCTGATTTGATGCTTTCCTCTACGTCCAGACGCGGCACACTCTTTTTGTACATTGCCTTCTCTGGTGCCGCTCTGGAGGACCTCCGCGCGCGCTGCTTCAGCGCACGGACCCCTGCGAGAGTGCGAGAAACCAGTGCGTGCAGCTTGCAGGATGCAGCCGAGTTGAAGCTGTAGGGTTACGACTATTTGCTTAATGAACCCCAAAAGAATAAAAAACAATAATCCCCTTATGAGGGAGAATATTTTTCATTTTTTTGGGGGTTCTTAAGCAATTTAGTAGGTTGCTACGTGTTGCTACTGAGTGATGCGTGGACACTGACCCCCCCCACTGCAGCTTAACGACACGCTTTTATGGTTTGGAGCAGGCCAGAGGGGGAAGCCGAACGGAAGCCTCAGCGTGGCCGAGTGAGCTGTCTTGGGTTTAGGGTTTGGGGTTTGGGGTTTCGGGTTTCGGGTTTAGGGCATGCAGAATGATGCACTGCTTCAACTGCAAGCGGTTGCAAGTGCTGGCTTGTGTACTCAGCTGTCGGCATGCCATGTGAGTTGTTGGGCGACTTACGTACACACTCTCTATATATAGACATACAGACACACACACACACGTATATATATATATATATATATATATTTTAATTTTTTTTTAACATGAACCATTTGGTATTACTATTGTATTGCTGTCGTAATATTTGGTCGTAGGTAATACAAGCTGTAATATGAAATATCATACATGTTTGAATCAAATATACATGGTATTTGTTTATGGTTCAGTTTTTCTTTCAGTCGATCGCCTTTGTCCGTGGTGTGTTGAAAGCTCACCGCGGTTTCTGCTGACCAAAGTACAGAGAGACTCGGGGAAAGAGCTGTGCAGATGCCCAGAAGTCGGGCAGAAGGTGCAGGGAAAGAAAGTCAAAACCCTAAACCCTTAACAAGAAACCCAAAAACCCTAAACCTAAACCCTACAGAGACCTGAAGTAATGTTTTCCAGGAGCTCCTTGCTTTCATACAGTACTGGCAGCTTTCCCACGTGACGTCTGGGACCAAGTGGCGCGAAGCTAGGGTTTAGGGTTTAGGGTGGTTTAGGGTAGTCCTCAAGCCCAGTTGCAAAAGGGTGGTTTAGGGTCTAGGGTTCAGAGTTTGGGGTTGGGGGTGGCTCATTGTAGCAGAACAGTTCGTCCACTCGTGGCGTATCTCAACCCATGTCTGCCAAGGGCTCAGGCCGTGAAGGCCTTGTCAGCCAATCTACAAAGGCAGGTGCTTTCTGAGCCTCCTCCTCGGCTGAAGTCGTCACGTTCTTGCTGAGCGGCCTCTCTTGCGTTGCATTCCCAAAGAGCCCAATACCCCTTAACTAAGGAATATGGCTTAAATTACAAAAGGATCCTTATTATGATTTACGGAATATGCCGTAACCAAGGGGTATTGGGCTCTTTGGGTTCTTTGCCAGAAGCCACCTTGCTGGGCGTACCTGAGGTTCCGTCCCAAGCAGGGCACCCGCAATGTGGAGGCGTTGCTGCATGGCTACATCAAGAGCATCACGCCCTCGCCTGAGTCATACGCCGGTCCCGGCCCCCTTGCCTTTCTGGGTTTACTTGGTTAGGGTTCAGGGTTTAGTGTTTAGGGTTTAGGGTTTAGGGTTAGGTTGGGTGCTTAGAAGTAGTGGTACAAGTAGGGCAACGATGGCCATAACCTTATTTCGGGTACTTGTCTAACCCCACTTCTAAGTACCCACTAAGTACCCATGAACCTTTAAGAAGGGTTTAGGGGTTTAGGGACTTGCCCGGCAGTGTTCGAAGAGGCCTGGATGCAAACGGGTGCTTCCAAGATGCCAAAAAAGGGTGGTTGCGCAAAAGAAGGGTGTGGTCGCTGGCAGGTCTCCTGCGGGGCCCGAGGCCAAGGACGGAAGTGCGCGAATCTCTCGCTGTCTCCTTGAGCAGATCCCTAGAAGAAGCCCTAGAAACCCTAAAGGGGCCCTGCTTCTTCTCCAAGTCCCCCAAAAACCCTAAGAGCCCTAAACGCCCTAAAAGCCCCAAAAGCCCCCAAGGGCCCTAAACACCCTAAAGGGCCCTAAACCCTCGACCCACACCAACCAGCCGAAGGAGCCACGGGCGCCGAAGGCTCAAAAGCAAAAGGCCGGAGACTTCGAGTCGATGGGTTGTGCCCAGACCCCTGGGAGGATCCAAAGGTAGAACCCCCCAAATTCTGCAAACCCTAAACCCTAAACCCCAAACCCTAAACCCTAGGAAGCCTTGCAGGCCACTACTATTGGGTCATTCTGAGGAACCCTTAAGGGGATCTACTTTTTTGATCCTTCCAAAGGTCTGGTTTAGGGTTTAGGGTTTAGGGTTTAGGGTTTAGGGTTGAGGGTTTAGGGTTTAGGGTTTAGGGTGGATATTGCTCGGAGTTGCTGCGTGCGTGCTCCGTGGCCACTGCAGTGAGATGGGTTGAAAGCAGGATGCAGGAGGTCCCGCAAAAGCTCCAAGACTCCTGATTTAAGGAATATTCCTTAAACCATATAAGGACCTTTTAAGGAACCCTATCATAATTTAGGGAATAGGCCTTAAAAAAAGGGTATTGGAGTCCCTGGGTTCGGGTAGAGGTTCCAGGATGGAACTGCGTGTGATGGAGCGCGATTGCTTGAGATATGGCTACTTGGAGGTTCGTGGGTACTCAGAAGTGGGGTTGTAAGTAGGGTAACTATGGTTTATAACCTTATTGAGTTTAGGTTTAGGGTTTAGGGTTTAGGGTTTAGGGTTTAGGGTTTAGGGTTTAGGGTTTAGGGTTTAGGGGTTTGTAACCCCACTCAGAAGTGCCCATATAAACCTTCAAGTCTTGATGTGTCAGGCGAAGAAAGAAGCTCCCAAGAAGCAGCCTGCCTGCACCTGGCCGATCTCGTGCCATGAAAGTTCAGGGTTTAGGCTTTAGGGTTTGTGGTCCTCTGTTTGGGTACCCAAATATATAAGGCTCCGTAGTATATCAGGAACCCCATACCAGCTGCTATTTGCTTCAGAACCCCCAGAACATACAACATATCCTTCTTTCTATGGGTAATATAGGGATTGTTATCTCTTTCCTAATTATTAGTATTATTGTTATGAAGATTTTATCTATATTTTTGTTATATATACATATGTATGTATACATGTATACATATATATATATATAGTTTTTTTGGGGGGGGGGGGCGGGTTGGGTTCTTAAGCAAAGAGTAGGGAGTGTCCGCCGCTGGAAGCATGCCAGTCGTCCTTGAGGCTTGAGTCGATGAAAGAAAAAGCTAAGGCCACGGTTTAGGGTTCAGGATTCAGGGTTCAGGGCTATTCTGGCACGTTTCGGGGGACCTCAGGGGAAGCCATTTCTGTCACAGAGTTGCTGGGCATGTGCGAGTCGGTGAGTTCTGCAGTCAGCGCGAGCTGGCAACATTGCGCAGGAAACGGCCACGTCCACAACAGGCCGGCCCGCCTCTTTTTTGCTTATGCCGATCTCCGTACGGAGTACAGCTGGCCCGCAGATGTCAGCCGAAGATGGGCATCACCTCGGCATCTAAAGTTACCGGCCCCTTACCGGCCCCCAGGCCATCATGACCATCACCATCATCACCATCCGAATAAAAATGTTACACGTGGCTCACGCAAGGGCAGAGGGTTTCATCATTCCAGGTGCAGCACCTGTGGCCCCGCAGCAGAGGCCTAGGGCAGGGATGCCTTGGACTTGTCATCTCATACTTGAAGGTTCATTAGGGTTTAGGGTTTAGGGTTTAGGAGTACCCCCCCCCCCCCCCCCAATAAGGCCGTACCCACCACGGTGGCCCTACTCATAGCCCCGCTGCACACATGAACCTCCGAGCAACCCTGTACACCTCACCGTTGATAATCTATCACATTTAAGATAATAATCACCAAATTGATCTGTTTTATTTTATTTGTGTCAATTTTGGTATCATTTACTGTGGACAGGTCGGTCCAGGCCCCGAAATCAAAGCCGCCGCCGCCCCAAGTTCGACGAGACCCTACGCCGGAAACGCTATTTGGAGGTTCATGGTACTTACCAATAGTACCTGCAATTATAACCCACTTATAAGCCCCTTAAGTGCCCGGAGAGTGTTAGAAGTACAGTTATAAGTACAGTTATAATTGCTTAAGAAGTACCATGAACCTCCAAGTAAACCCTTGCAGCTGTGGGGTACATGCTAGGTAGGATAAGGGGGGCCCTTAAACGGGAACCCTGTTTCACCCTCTTCTCAAACCCTGCGTTCCAGCTGTAGCGTCACGCCTGTGGATCTGAGTTGCTTGGGAGCCGAGGCTGAGCACCGGCTTTGCTGTGCATGGGCCTCGATCAATGAGCGCATCTTGTGGTACATCCCGGGTTTAGGGTTTAGGGTTTAGGGTTTGGGGTTTAGGGTTTAGGGTTTGGGGTTTAGGGTTTAGGGTTTAGGGTGCATGGGTGCCCAAACACTGGCACGCTTTACCAGCTCCGTTGACGGCGTTTCTCAGGTTGAGGACTTATCAAATACTCAAATACTCGCAATTCTAAACACTAAACCCTAAACCCTGAACCCTGAACCCTAAACCCTAAACCCTGAACCCTGAACCCTAAACCCTAAACCCTAAACCCCCCCCCCCCCCCCGCCCCGATGTTTGTTCAGGCTCAACGAGTCCAGCTCCGAGGCCGAGGAAGAGGACACTTCCCTCACCTCAAAGCATCCTAAACCCTAAACCCTAAACCCCTTAACCCTTAAACCCTAAACCCTAAATCTTACACCAGGGGAGACCCCCCCAACTCGAGCGCGCTGGGCCCTGGTTATCACGTACTCTGTACATCTCTGTGCCTTCCGGGGGGGTAGGCGCTTAAGGCCTTAAGGGATATGTTATACTTTTCCCTTTTCGGGTTTAAGAGGATTATATGTAGGAAGATTTTTCAGAGGGTTGACAGGGCCAACCTATGTGCATCAATGTGGTAGACTTGTGACACACGATGCGGGCTGTTTGTGCCTGTGTTTGGCTCAACAAGGGTTGTGAGACGTCCGTCCCAACCGCGCGCATCGGAGGTTGTGGCCTTGCGCTTAGGCTTCTGCAGACCTCCTGCTGCGGTAGACTTGGGGGTTTCCGAAATCAGGGGGTGCCTTTTTCGGGTCCTTACGACTATTTGGGGGTCTAGATGAGGGCCCCTTATTCTCGCAAACCCGCACTTTGCAAAGCACAGTCATCGGGGTATGACTGCATGAGGATGTCATCTCTCACATTCTGTGCCTCTGCACACCTACGTATGCTTGAAGGTTCATGGGTACTTAGAAGTGGGCTTATAAGTACCCTAAATAAGGTTATAACCATACTTGCCCGGCTTGTAACCCTACTTTTTAAGTACCCATCCAAAGCACAGCATCGGGGTATTCTGTGCCCTCTGCCACAGTTACGTATGGCTCAATCAGCTGCGTGTTGTTCAGTCGACGTTGTGCGCAGCTTCCTCCAGTTGCAGACATGCCGAAGAAGCGTCGCGGCCTGGAACGGGCAGCCTTTGATTCTTTCTACAGAGGTTTAGGGTCTAGGGTTTTGGGTTCAGGGTTTAGGGTTTAGGGTATAGGGTTTAGGGTTTAGGGTTTAGGGTGTAAGGTTTAGGGTTTAGGGTTCCTTCTCCCCTCGACCCCCCCCCGGACCCCCAAACCTCCAATCTGAGGCCTACCAGCGAAGAGAAGTATCAGAACTTCAGCGACAGTGGCATGAGGGACCCTCGCCTTCAACTTAAGCAAAGGGTTTTGGATGGTTTAGGGCATAGGGTTTAAGGGTAAGGGTGTAGACCTGTAGATCTCACAGGCCGTCATGCTGCTGCCGCTGTAGAGCAGCCGCGCCGGGCCCACATGACTCGAATCCCTGGTTATTTTGGGGGTTTAGGGTTTAGGGTTTCCTACTTCCCAGGATCGCGTGGCTGCGGTTCACTCACATGAGTACCAGCCTCCGACGCTGAGCTCAGAAGAGGACCCGTCGCAGCAGCCATCAGGATTCACATCAAGCGGATGGGACAAGTACTACTTCTTCAGCAATCCAGCCAACTGCTCCGGACCTGGCAAAGGCTGCGGGGCTTGATTTTGCTACCCCAAACCCTAAACCCTAAACCCTAAACCCTAAACCCTGAACCCTGAACCCTAAACCCTAAACCCTAAACCCTAAACCCTAAACCCTAAACCCTAAACCCTAAACCCTAAACCCTAAACCCTAAACCCTAAACCCTAAACCCTAAACCCTAAACCCTAAACCCTAACCCTAAACCCTAAACTCTAGACCCTAAACCCTGAACCCTGAACCCTAAACCCTGAACCCTAAACCCTAACCCTAAACCCTAAACCCTAAACCCTAAACCCTAAACCCTAAACCCCCATGTCAAAGGTGGCCTGCATCCAACCGCACGGCTGGGGCGCAATCGTCCAGCGATGAATGGACCCCAGACCTTCACGATTGAAGCCTTCAGCCCAGAGGAGCTGTGGGGTTTAGGGTTTATAGGGTTTAGGGTTTAGGGTTTAGGCTAGAGGGTACCAGCAGCTGTTTTGTTTTGTTGTTGTTTTTCTTCTGGTATTCCCCACCCAGCCCACATGGAAAAAGGAGAAGGGTTAGAGGGTAGTAGGGGCCTTTGCTTAAGAACCCCCCCAAAAAATTGACAATATTCTTCCTTATATGGGTAAGATAGGGAGTATTCCCTTCGATTTTTTGGTGGTTCTTAAGCAAATCGTAGAGGAGCTGGCCTTTGCGCGGAAGAAGATTGAGAAGAAGGGTGCCCGCACCTCCTACACAGAGGCCTTCAGCCAGTTCCCCAGAAGCTCCACCTCGGTGCTTGGGCCCATTGAGAGGCTTGGGAGCCCAGTAGTGCCCTTTTACCCCTTTTTTTGAGTTTAGGGTTTAGGGTTTTTGGGTTTAGGGTTTAGGGTTTTTGGGTTTTTTGGGTTATGGTTTCCCTTTTAAGAAAAAGCCAACCCCCAAAAAAGGGGGTGCCCTTGTTGTAATATGGTTACTGGGCTGCCAAGGAGGGCCACGGGGCCACACATCATGAAGCAGGCCGCTGCTTCGGGGCAGTCGGTGTCCGACACCCTCAGCCAGGCCGGCTTGGGCGCGCTGACGCGCGCCATGACGGTGGTTATAGTGGTACCCTTTACCTTTTTTTGGGTTATATGGGGTTCCCTTATAAAACGTACCCAACCCCAAAAACAGGGTGCCCTTCTTAGAATGTGGTTGCTGGGCTACTCAGGCTCCATGACGGTGCCCGAGTTGATGGCAGGGCCCCAGACAGCGCACCGCATGGGCCCTCACTGGCCGCCTCCCGGTCCTGAGCGACCCGACCCGCTGAAGACCCGGCAGCAGCTCATGCAGATGGGCCCTCACCGTACCTTCGTGGAGCTTCATGCCAAAGACCGGAAGGCACCAGAGGAGTATTTGTACACCGTTACCAGGACATGATGAATCCACTCCCCTTCGACAGAGAGGTACTCTGACTCACAAGTCACCCATGCAGAACCCAGGCAGAACCGCAGAACTGCGGCGCTGCAAGCGCAACCGGCTTGTGATGCTTGTGCTCGCATCATTCATGTGTGTTTCACAATCGCCCTTCGGGAGATGGAGACGAGAAGCAGCAGGGCCCATATGCCATATTCACTCAGACACGGTCTCCATCTTCCGCTGCGGCTTCCTCTCACAGCCCAGCTGCCATGGCTGATCCATTGTGCAAGGCTGTGTGTCTTTTTTTGGGTTCCAAGCCGGCTTATGAAAGTTGTTTTGTGTCACCTGTGCCCCAGCGCAGCTGTGAGTGCAGACCTGCCGCGAGAATCAGATTGCCAGGATTTTCGTGAGCCCTTGGAGCTTGCTTGTGGTGCCGTTGATGGGTTTAGGGTTTAGGGTTCAGGGTTACGGGAGTTCGGATGCAAATAGGGTTTAGGGTTTAGGGTTTAGGGTTCAGGGTTTAGGGTTCAGGGTTCAGGATTTAGGGTTTAGGGGTGGCTTGTCGCATGTCCAGCCAGGCTGCCTTAGTCATTCAGATCCCTATCATCTCCGTACCACTAACTACCAGAACCACCTCCAACTCCAACTCCTCCACCAGGTCCCTTTGTCCGCAAGCCCTGAGACGAAGCCCTATAAACCTTTAGCCCGAATTCAGCACCAGGAAAGACGTCATCAGCGTAATCAGAAGCGATGCAGTTCGAGACATCATCGATTGGATTGAGGAAGCGATACCTAACCTCCAAAGCACTGCCCCTCAATGCATGTCTGCTTTAGGTTTTGCCGCGCACTCACGTTACTTATCTCTTGGTGTTCCATGTTTTGATATATTGCGTACTCCTACCTGGTACTTCAGAACTCTTGTTTCTTACTTATGACGCAATTCTTGCAGGTTATTTTTTGCTACTCAGTACATTTCCCCTTTTCTTGTTCCTTATTACTTATGTACGTTGCTTATTTTTTGCAGCTGTTTGCATATCTACTAGTTATTGCTTACTACATCACTTCCTCTTCGAGTTGTGCAAAAGGGACTATAAATTGACTTGCCTGCCAGCGGCAAACGAATGCCGGCAACGAACCGTACACCACCAGGCCACAAACATGACATGCGTAGAAACAGTGTCGTGACCTTTTTTTAAGGTTCAGAGATAGTTAGAAGTAGGATTGTAAGTACCATTAAGTACCTTTTTGTAGGGTTACAGCCAGTTATGGTTATAGTCATAGTCATAGACATTGTCATAGTCATAGTTATAGTTATAGTCATAGTTATAGTTATGGTTATAGCTATAGCTATAGCTATAGTTATAGTTATAGTTATAGTTGTAGTTATAGTTACCATACTGGACCATACTTACAACCGCCCTTTGACCCATGAACCTGCAAGATGGTCGGCCATCGTAAGCCCAGTCACCCACGTGGCCCGAGTTGCCTGACAAGCTCCCTAAACCCTAAACCCTAAACCCTAAACCCTAAACTCTAAACTCTAAACCCTTGTGCTAGGGTGAAAGTCGAAACCCTAAAACCCTAAACCCCCCCCCCCCCCCCCCCCCCCGAGGTTCCCGCCGTGTCACATCGGGAGCCCGTGTGAGACAAATGTCCTTCAGCCCGCAGGCGAGGTGGGAATGTTTGGCAGGCAGCGGTTGCGATTGGGAGCATGGCATCTCTTTGGCTGCTGCGCGTTTAGCGTTTAGGGTTTAGGGATTAGGGTCTAGGGTCTAGGGTCTAGGGTTTAGGGATTAGGGTTTAGGGGTAGCTTCGGGCACGAGGATGCCTTCTGGTGGTTTAGTGACTACTAGGATTCCGGCCGGCAGAAAGGGCTATGACAAGCCTTTCAGACTTTCAGAAGTATTTCTTGGATGAAGATTGGCAGCTGTCGCCCATTGTGCATGCAGTAGAGAAGAAGGAACTCACCACATGCTGCTGTTCTTGCCCAGTGGCTTCCGCGGCTGTGTGAGGCTCAAAGTAGCCAAGGGCGGAATCATGACCGGGTGACCCGATATGACCCGATGTTGCTAGCCTGGCTGGCTGTGAGCCATGCTGTGCACATTGACGCGACGGAAGTGAGCAGCTACTTTCGCTTCACCACCCCGTGGCTTTCTCAGTAGCGATGCGTTTGGTCCTGTGAGGATTGTCCTGTGACTCTGCATGTGCTCCTTGCACTTTGTGGCACGCTGTTTAAGAAGCGGCGTCAGATGTTCTTGCCTGCGTGCCTACGTGTGCGCGCGTGTGTGTTTGTGTGTCAGGTCCACGAGCGGGAACCATGCCTCCTACAAAAGCACCTTGGCTTCGCCACGCTAGCAGTGCAAAGTCGTCACTGTCTAATGCTTCGTTCCGACGGTTGACGTTCGCTTTGCAAGGTCACGTGCAGAACTTGTGCGTTGACATTGTCCAGTCTGAGGACCACTGTTCAGTGTCGCAGTCTCAGGAAATATGAGCATGTCCAAAAATTTGGGCCAAATGTTCCCCAACAGAGCAGAATCCCCTTAAAGGGGCCCCCAAAAAAGGGTTCCCACATTTTCGGAAACCCCGTATCTTGTTCTCAGCCTTTGTCAAGCCCGGAAATCGTCCAAGGTCACAGGACTGCTCACCTCTGACGCACTACGAATGCTCAGAGCTGTACGTTTCAGACGTGGCGGTCAATGTGGCTGTTCCGCACAGCCTTGATGACCATGTCCATGGTGGGGTTCAGGCCGGTTTAGGGTTTAGGGTTTTACACATGGCAGGATGGTACCTGCAAGGCTTCAAGAAGGGGCTTAGGGGGTTTAGGGTTTAGGGTGTAGGTTTAGGGTCACTTCTTGTCAGCAAGTTTTGTAGGACGAGCTGGTACATGGCAACCAGCGACACTTCTCGATAGAACGCCTCCAAAGAAGGGCTCAGGCTCAGGCTTACACAGCTAAGGCATGCAAGGGCAATATATGTATATACATATATATAATAATAATCATAATAATAATAATCATAATAATAATAGTCATAATAATAATCATAATAATAATCATAATAATAATCATAATAATAATCATAATAATAATCATAATAATAATAATCATCCTAATAATAGTAATAGATTAGATTAGATTATATTTTTATACGCCTTGTGGCCGGATGTGGCTGGCAGACCTACACTGAGTCAACTGGGTGGTCTCGTGCTGCTAGCGAAACATGCCATCTAAGTAGCCATCGTCGTTTGGCAGACCTATGAAGTAGCAGCCCTCTTGCAGAAACTTGCGCTCCCCGGGTGTACGCCAGCGCCTCCTACATGGTCCCTAAACCTAAAACCCTAAACCCTAAACCCTAAACCCTAAACCCTAAAGACCTTTAACGTACCCAACAAGGGGCCATGACTTCGAGAGAGCTGGTCACATGCCCCCGTCACAGGGCCTCAAGATGCTGAGGTTCTGCAAGTGGAGATGGAGTTCGAGGGTCACGTGACGTGGTGGTCGTTTGTGGAGCCTGAACTCGCAACAACCAGCATGGGCTTTATAGGGAAACGGGAACCCACAGTGGAACGAGCTGGCCCCGTGCAGCTTTTGTTAGGGCCGCAGTTGCCTTTGAGCTTGAGGAACTGGGATGTTCCCCCCCCCTTACACAAGCAGTCTAGCAGTCCTTAAGAGGGATGATCGTACCCCCCCTACTAGTAGAACCCCTTTTTAAAGGACTCTGAAGCACAAGACGAGAGGAACAGAGGAACCTCCCAGCTGAGGAATGTGGGGAAGGTCCGGCTGGAAGCTGCCCCTGGTGCACGAACTACCGCTCCTGTGTCGGCCCTATGGTCCAGACGGACACCAAAACCCTGAGACTGGGCCTTGATACCCCCTGGTTCTTGGCAGGGAGTGAGGGAACTGTAGGGGCCCTGTAGAGTCCCCTTTAAGGGATGGTTCTTGGGCACCGAAGTCCATCATTCCCTACTAAGAACCAGCCAGTAGTTGCAGAATCTTGGGTCATAACTGCTAAGGGCCAGTATAGGAAACCCTAAACCCTAAACCCTAAACATAAGATGTCGGACGCTGTTTTCTGGGAGCAGCTTGAGGACAGCGGGCAACTGCATCCTCTGGGAGTACAACACGCAAAAGAGCCGGGATGCTTTTGAGATCCTCGTGGCCATCTTCGATGGCTCTGAAGAGATGGTGGCGCATGAGCTGAAGCGTGGCAACCTGCAGCTTCGGGTGAAATAGGGAACCGTGAAAACTGCCCAGGGGGATGCCCCCAAACCTCCCTAGAAGGTTCACTACTACTTCCTATATACAAGTTGAAAAGGGGCAGCGATGCCCGGAAATCTTTTTTAAGGCGCCGCGTGGATCTTTCTCACAGCACCCGGACGGTTTGCCTTAATTCAGGATCCCGCCGCGCACCCCCAAGCAGTCAGGGTGTCCTGAATAGCCCACCAGCCAATCTGCCTTCATTCAGGGGGCCCCCACCCAAAGAGGTCCAACATTACCCTAAGTGAGGTTCTAACCATAGATACCCTACTCATACGTACCCATGAACCTCCAAGTACGGTTTCGGGTTCAGGGTTCGGGGTTTACACGCCGAGCTTATTTGCGACTCTGGCACTCAAACAAGGCAGCTGGATTGGTCTTATGGGCAAGTGCAGGTGGCCAATGCTGGCAATTACTTCCTTCGCTTCTTCCTGGGCTCTTACGATGCCACAGGGGGGGGACTGGTGGGAGCCAGGCTCGAAGTGCGCAACGTGCGATTCTCCCCTACTTGCCTGGATGAGAACTCGTTGCGGCTGGGCCCACTGGCCTCCAGCACCACGAGTAGCACTACCAGCACTACCAGCTTCACGATCACCTCGAGCACCAACACCTCCACTACGACATCAAGCACAAACTCCAGCACTACGAGCATAAGCATCTCCACCACCACCACTCAGACTCGCACAGCTTCTTGCAGAAGTTGGTTGGTATAGACAAAGTATTGTGTAACGGACGTCATGGGCACGATGTAGAACATAGCGTACCAGGACAATATGCAACTTTTGCTGTAGAAGATAAAATCCAGAATATTGAGCACAACACATGCAACATATAGGACATCATAAACCATAACCATATAAGTATACTGTAAGATGTACTATCTAATATGCAGTATTTGCCATACGTTCTACACATGTTCAACAGAATGCAATATGCAGTTGTTTGTGTATGTATTGTTCTACAACGTAGGACAGAATACATACGTACATTCATATATATATATATATATGTATATGTACATAGTAGCCCATCGATAATGCACATGACACAGATAGACATATCGGCGGTGCAGAAACCCTGGCAAGCACATAGGCACCTACTACTCAGGTGTCGTCTACTTCTTACAGCACCACGTCCACGAGCTCCCACACTGGCAGCTCCACCTCCTCCACGTTGTCATCCACGAAGAGCGTAACATCCTCAACGACAACTCGAACAAGCTCCCTTTACTGTTGGCTAGTAGGGAATGAGGGAATGAGGTACCCTATATAATCCCTTAAACGGTATATATATATATATGTATATAAAGGGGGATGGGTCCAACAGTAAGGCTCGACGACCAGCACGGTTTTCAGTAGCACTTCAAGCACGGCCGTTGAGAACGACGCCCCGCTGGCCGCCTTCGAATGCAACTGCTCGGAAGCTGTCGCAACAGATGCAGACGAGGAGATGCAAGTCTTCGCCGTGATCACCACGTTCCTTAGTGTTGGCAGGGAATCGGGGACTGAGGTACCCTACATAATCCCTTGAAGGGTATATATATATATACATATGCATATGCATATATATTTATATACATATATATACATATATACATAGCCCTAATTAGCAAGGTTCGGGGCCATTCTGGGGGCCTTCGTCGGCGTGGTGCTTCTCTGCCGAATGGCTGGGGTCCGCAGCAAGCCCAAGATTCAGCCCTCGCTGCCTGGATCCACTCAGGACCCCAAAAGCACCGTGGCCGCACAGGGAGCAGATGTGCAAGGGTTTAGGGTTTAGGGTTTAGGGTTTAGGGTTTAGGGTTTAGGGTTTAGGGTTTAGGGTTTAGGGTTTAGGGTTTAGGGTTTAGGGGGGCAGCAGATCAGATGCTCACAAAGTGCAAGGTGGGGCGGGTGGGCGGCTAAGGCAAGAGCCCGGAGGCGGAGGAGGTAGCGCTCCCACATAACGTGCGCCAGCTCTGCGCAGTGCTTCGGGAGCACCACATCCAGAGCCCCGAGGAGCTTGCTGCCAAGCTCCGAACTGCCTCCCTGGCAGACGCCGACCGCCATCGCACACACGCGGAAGCCCGCACGCGGCTTGGCTTGGGACAGCCATGTGCAATTCTGTGTCCTCCGACTCTGCCATGCTAGTACACGTACTTTTGCGAAAGACTGCTCATGCCCATAGCTCCCTCCTTCCTGCCACGTGCCGACATTCGGCCTCGTGGTGATCGTCTTCGCTGTTGCCTTCGCGTTGCCATCCCTAAACCCTAAACCCTAAACCCTAAACCCTAAACCCTAAACCCTAAAGCAGAAACCCTAAACCTAAATGGCCATCAGGTCCCCCGAAGAGCAGCGTGCGTCCCGACAGCTCGAAGAGCTGGAGAGGGCGCATCGCATCCTCTTGCATCAGCTGATGAATGAGCGAAGGCAGCCTCGCAAGGGGAGATTAAAACATTATCAGCACATAAAATAATAAATAAATATGAATATCAATAAATAAATAAATATATATATATATAGGGGCTTAACATTATGAGTACTATTGTCACCGCTATTATTCTTGTTGTTATTCTTGTTGTTAAGTTATTATGATCAATCTGATTGCGACTATCCAAATTATATTCATTGAACACATGGGTCTGTCCTCCTTGGATGGTCCTCCGCAGGTTTTGTTTGTTGGCATTATCGAACATGATGTGCTAGTTTGTTGGGCACACCTTTCCCCCGAAGCCCTAAACCCTAAACCCTAAACCCTAAACCCTCAATTGTGGCTAGCCGGGTGCCAAAAAACCCTAAATTCAGGCTTCGCGAGGAGCTCCAGCATTCTGGCACAGGATAGCTTGGACACGGAGTGAGGCGCGGAACTTCCTGGCTGCCCTAAACCCTAAACCCTAAACCCTAAAACCTAAACCCTAAACCCTAAACCCTATACCCTAAACCCAGCGGCCGCCTGAAAGGAGACCAAAGCGGGTGGACATGCAGCATCTGTGAGCAGAACGACGCGGCCTGGACGTGGTTGTCGAAATCATCGACAACTGGTTCTGGGAGCCCCTGACGCGGTTGTGGGAGTACGCTGGAAGTTTTGCGCCGAACATGGACGAGGGGTGAAGTGCAATACCCGGCGCAGCACCATGGAGTCGTTCTTTCCCATGAATGTTGAGCCAGGCATGTCCAAAGAGGTGGGCTATTCGTCTCAACGCAAGACGTAAAGCGTGACAGGTAGGCGTGGCTGGGCTTCGTGGAATGTCTGTTAGCACATCTGCTGTACAGGCTTCAACTCAAAGGGTTTTGGCTTCAACTCAAAGGGTTGTGAGCTGCAAGAGGCCATTGTGTGCGTGACTCCTTGGTTCTTGGCACAAGGGCGGAAGAAAAGCGACGGAGCATCCCGACAATCTCGTAGTTCTGTGCAGCCCCTAGGGTTTAGGGTTTAGGGTTTGGGGTTTGGGGTTTGGGGTTTAGGGATCTATGCAGTCTGCTCCTCTTGGCAGATTGTGGTTGACTGCCGCGGCCACTTGCTGGGACGCCTGGCATCGGTCCTGGCAAAGGAGCTGGGGAGGGGGATGTGGGAAGAACGCGGGGAAGTTTTTGGATGTTTAGGTTTGTCCTACCCGGTCGATGACATAGCTCTGCCGGCCAGGAACTCCTGAACGGTCAGCACGTTGTTTGCGTGCGTCTTGCCCGCATGCAGCAAGATCTCAGGTCGAGGTTGTAGTTAGACTCAGTTAGACTAGCAGTTGGCTCTGAGAATGTTTTGTTGTGCTGGGAAAGATAAGTGCAAGACTGTGCAAGTCTGCAGGCGTGCGGAGGACATCAACATCTCCGGATCTCTCTATCGCAACAAGCTGAAGTATGCGGCTCTTCAGCACATGCTCTGTGAACATTTGCTGATGTATAAAGAGTATAACTGACAGTTGCTTCAACTGCAAGCCACCAGCCCCTCTCGCTCCAGAGAACGGGATTTCATCCACTGAGGCCAGCTTCAAGAGGAAGCATATGAACACCAATCCGCGACAGGGGCCTTTCCACTACCGTGCACCTTCGAAAATCCTTTGGCGCACCCCGCTGGCATCAGCTTTGGTGGGTTTGGGGTGGTTCTTTTTTCGGGAACAAGCCTAGCTGGCGGACGCAATGCCTGGTGAGGTACAAGATGCGGTATCCAAGCTTTCGCAAAATCTTCCACCAAGTAGCAAGCCCAGTACATCCAACTCCTCGGCTCTTACTGGCCTTATTTGTCGCCTTCGGAGTATGAGTGGGTGATTTTAGGCCCATTCAACAAACCGCAAAGGGGAGCAAACCCTTTCCCCCATGCAAAAGTTGGCAGGTACCTCAACGTTCATGGGTACTTGGGGATATAGGGGCCCGAAACACGCCTATAACCAGAGTTACCCTACTTAGAACCCCCACTGATAAGTATCCATGAACCTCCAAGTAGGGTTTTAGGAGTATATGGTGGGGTTATAAGTGCCCTAAATAAGGTTGTAACCATAGTTACCCTACTTGTAACCCCTACTCATATAAGTTCCATTTGAAGGTTATAAGTACCCTAAAACAGGCTATAATGTTGTATCCAGAGTTACCCTACTCATAAACTTTACCCATAAGTACCCTGAATGAGGCTATAAAGTCATAACCATAGTCACCCTACTTCTAAAACCCTACTTATGAGCTTTCCATGAACCTCCTAGTAGGGCGAAATAAGGTTGTAACCAGAGTAACCCTGCTTCTAAACCCTAAACCCTAAACCCCAAACCCTAAACCCTAAACCCTAAACCCTACTTATAAGATTTCCATGACGCCGAGGCACTATCCGAGGCATGGTCCCCCACAAGACGGCCCGAGGAGCGGCTGCTTTGGATCGTCCCTCCACGGAAGTTCTAGGGTTTAGGGTTTAGGGTTTAGGGTTTAGGGTTTAGGGTGTCGGAAACCCTGGACCCCTAAACCCGTAGCCTTAAACCCGAAACCAATGTGGACGTACAGTTCAGCCAGGCGGGCGGAAAAAAAAAAAAAAACAGACCCTCACCCGCATGAGACCCTGAGCCCTTTGCCCCCTCAAGTTCAAAGAGGATTTTCGGGCGCAGGGAGGAGTCGATGCACGCGCTGTCTCCTTCTTTCTTCCTGAGCAGCACGGCACATAGGCCTAGTAGTAGAGTGGGTAACCTTTAACCTTTTTGGGGTAGTATAATCCTTATAATCCCAAAGGTTAACCTTTAATTCCCCAGGTTTCTGGACAACTAAGTAGGTGGCTAGGCCCCTAAACCCTCCACCCTAAACCGGGTGGCGTTATACGCGGGAGGCTAGGATTGCTTGGTGTTCTCCAGCAGATTTGCTGGCAGATCTTTGGGTGCCCCGCCGCTCCCAGGCTTGAAGACCTTCGAGGGCATTCCTCACCCATATGCGGCCAGGATTGCACCAGAAGAATTTTCGACAGGGCTGATGGTTGAGGGTTTAGGGGGCAACGGCTTGTGTTTGCAACTTGTAATGGTGACCTTCAACGACCTCTATTGACCTCTGGCCGTGCACACATATCTGCGGGTCGCCTTTTCCAATGTTGAGTTTCGAAGCTCCATCATCCAAGGACCGCAAGAAGCGCATGGTTCTGTGGAGAGCTCGGGGGAAAGAACGGGTGGAGCAAGGGAATGAGACAGACGCAGGGTGGTGGACCTGAAGCAACCGCTGTGTACGTGTGGGGAGATGCAAAAGTTGCGGTGGTTGTAGAAGTGTGTCCTTTGCCTGAGGCATGGCTTCCGGATGTTAGTATGTTGTTGCTTTGCTAGCTGCAGGTTAAGTCGAGTCAAGCTTCCTGCGGCATCCCGCGATAAAACTACAGAGTCCCACCAAACATGGGGGCGGGGGGTGGGGGACGACCATGAATCTGATTAATCATGATGGCTGGGACCGGGGCTGTTTCCAGGGCGGCCGGAGATGTATATTTACATAGCCCTCACTTCTTTATACTTAACATTGATACAGTATATTGTACAAAGTAGATATGAGAAAGGGTATGTCGAATGGATCCCCGTCAAGATGCCTTGGGGCTGCAAGCCACCTAGAAAGACCTCCTGGCCGGTAGGCCGAAGGCCATGGACGGAGTGCAGAGGGGGACGCAATAATAAAACCGTACCCTAAACCCTAAACCCTAAACCCTAAACCCTAAACCCTAAGCCCTAAACCCTAAACCCTAAACCCTAAACCCTAAACCCTAAACCCTAAACCCTAAACCCTAAACCCTAAACCCTAAACCCTACGCACGCGTTCACGGGAGCTCAGGCCCAGCTGCTTGAAAGTCCTCCGCCTTCGTCCCGAGCGCCGCTTCTGCCGCCTTGGTGACCTCTCCAAGGAGGCCTGACTGCTTGGTAGCCCAGTGGTACCCTTTACCCTTTTTTTGGGTTATGGGCGGTTATGGGTTCGGGTTTAGGGTTTAGGGTTTAGGGTTTAGGGTTTAGGGTTTAGGGTTTAGGGTTTAGGGTTTAGGGTTTAGGGTTTAGGGTTTAGGGTTTAGGGTTTAGGGTTTAGGGTTTAGGGTTTAGGGTTCCCTTATTAAAAAAAGCTAGCCCCAAAAAAGGGTGCCCCTTATCATAACATGGTTGCTGGGCTACCAAGGCTGCCTGACCATCACCTTGCTTGAGATGGGTTCTCGCGCGTGCTAAAGACTTCTACTTGAAGGTTCATGGGTACTTAGATAGTGGGGTGAGAAGTACCCGAAATAGGGTTATCCTACTTATATCCCTACTCATAAGTACCCATGAACCTCCACGTGTTCTTTTGCCACTTCCACCATTCCAGGTTTGTGTTGTAGCTCCCGTTCAGTGCTGCACTGCCACGGGGCTGCCTCTGAACCTTAAAGTCGAATCCCAGCCTTGCCTACTGGAAAGAGAGCGGCGAAGCCCTAACCCTGAACCCTAAACCCTATGCGGGTGTCAAAAAAAACCCTAAACCCTAAACCCTGAACCCTAAACCCTAAACCCTAAACCCTAAACCCTAAACCCTAAACCCTAAACCCTAAACCCTAACCCTAAACCCTAAACCCTAAACCCTAAAGCAAAAATGGAGTCCACGGTTCGTGCCGTTTCCCTGCAACATGGACGGTACAAATCAGCTCGGGCGGTGGGGAAAAAATGTACTCCTCATATTGTATTCGTATAATGGGTCTTTCCCAAAATAGAGGACCCCGAAAATGGCCCCCAAGCAGGCTTCCCTTTTCATAAGGACTCCAATAAGGGTACCCCTAATTTCGGACCCCCCCCCCCCCCCCCCCCCCATGTAATTGGGTTTGTTAGTCATTATCTCTCAGATGTGATATACATATATATATATATACATATATCATATGTCCATACATTTGTAGTACTCATACTGTATATAGAATTTCATATGTGTACGTATATATAAAGTTTACGTCCACATATACAGCATTTCACCTACATTATGGTATTTTGCATAGTATACCTATATGCATAGATATACATATATATGTATATATTGCATTTTTATTGTAGTATAGTGTACTATATTTGCTTAGGTTATATTATTTGAAGCAATGATTCTATTCTATTCTATTCTATTCTATTCTATTCTATTATATTGCATCATATTTGTACATCACACAGCTGTTCTCCGAGAGCAGGTTGGTTGGAAGCATGGCGCGCTGATTGAGCGCCTTGAGACACAGCGAAAAGTGAAGAGCGAGGCTTTCCACAAGAAGAAGGCAGCGATCGATTCGGATTTTGTGTTTGGGGTTTAGGGTTTAGGGTTTAGGGTTTAGGGTTTAGGGTTTAGGGTTTAGGGTTTAGGGATCGATTCAGGTTTCGGGTTTTGGGGGTTTAGGGTTTGGAGTTATGTGGCTGCTTGGCTCCCCCAGTCCAGCTGCCAAAAGAAAAGGGCTTAGAGGCCTAGGGCCTAGTTGCAAGAGGGTTTAGACATTCAGGGGAAGGGGCTTAGGGAGTTTAGGTTTAGGAGAGAGCGCGTAGCGCTCTCGTTGAAGGACGATGCTTTCAGCCGTGCTCGTAGGGAAAGTGACGGATTGAGTTCCTATTCAAGCATAAATGAAACAGTCGGGGTTGTATAATAACCCCGCGGCTTGCGGTTTAGAAAAGAGTGCGCCCGAGTATCGTTTAGCTTGTAAAACGATAAGGAGTAAAAAAACGATAACTTTCTGCAGGGTTTTTGTTGTGTGGCCCCTTACACGCCTAACACGCCTTACACCCCTCACACCCCTAATTCTTTAGGTCAAAAACGATAACAAAACGATAACCAGAACGATAACTTTTGTTCACGATGGGGTCTGTTGAAGGACCTGCCTGGACCATTCCAGGGTTGAAGATGTGTGCCCTGTGGTGACTCTGGTCTTGGGGTGTCTCTGGGGGCCTGGTGGAAAGCAAGTGCTCCGAAGCATTTCCGTTTATAAGCAAACGCTGTAAAACGATAAGAATTCTAGCCAACAATACTGTGTATTGTGCGCATACACTGTAAAACGATAAGGAGTTAAAACAAAAAAAACGATAACATTTTTGGGGACCAGCAGGTTTCCATCGGGGTAGTAAGACAGCCCCTCAGTGGCTTTCCTCCGATGCATAGCACAACACGTCGCAAGTTAGAATTCAAGGGAAGCATTGGGCTCCGTGGGCTTTTCGGGCTGGCAGGATCTCGGAACCCTAAACCCTAAACCCTAAACCCTAAACCCTAAACCCTCAGGTTTAGAGCTGGGGGTGGCACAACACGCAGCATCGCCCTGAAGACGATCTTTCCTAAGTCCATGGCCACCCCACAGAGCAAGGGCTTTTGGGTTTAGGGTTTAGGGTTTAGGTTTAGGGTTTAGGGTTTAGGGTCTATGGTTTAGGATTTAGGGCCTTCCAGCCGAAACAAGAACGTCGCCCAGCGGGCAAAGCACAAGACACATTCAGACCTAGTATGATTGTCCAGAGGGACTGGTAAAGACTGTAGCGTATCATTCTGAAAGCTGAGGTGGTACACGCAGGTTCCTTTAACACGCTAGGACGCTCTCAAATTGTTGGGGACCGGGCTTTTGATGTAGGATACCTGAAAAGGGGCCACCAATTTGGGGGAACCCTTCAGTTCACGTGGTCCGCGGCGGGCAGGTGGCTGCAAAGCGTGCGCGCACAGATGCCCTCCCCTTAGCACTCAGCTTTGAAGTGCGCTGAACCGATCGGTCGAGCCATCTTGCAATTCAATCCAGCTGTCGGTTGTCCCTGAGTGGGTTTCGGGTTTAGGGTTTAGGGTTTAGGGCTTAGGGCTTAGGGTTTAGGGTTTAGGGTTTAGGGTTTAGGGAGTGCTTCATCCAGCTGTGGCCGGTACCAAGAGAGTTGCACTGAGGCCATGAAGGCGGTGAAGCTGTCAGCAGAGGATCAGAAGGCGCTGGAAGAAGCCGGCTACGCGTAAGGCGGACGCAGAGAAACACACAGTCGATGCGCAGCGGAAGGAGGGAAAACAAAAAGGTGCAAGTGGGAGTTGCTCTCGGATTCAACGTCATATGGCCCTGCTGGTATCCCTAAACTCCTAGGTAGGAGAAGGGGGACCCTTAAAGGGGAACCCTTCTGAACCCTCTTGTGGCTCTCTTAAGCAGGGACCTTATTCAGAGGGTCTGTATCCCCAAGGGTCTCCCTAATCTGGATCCCTACCTAAACCCCATAGACCCTAAACCGTCTCAGAGTTCGCGGTGTTCTGCAGGGGCGGGATGCCCATTCGGCCACAAAAGCTTTATACTCGGCGGGGTCATATCATTCAAAATCATGTCTTATGCGACATATATCCGGTACGCATAAATATTTGTACATCTATGTATGGCAATGTATGAATGCATCGGTTTCGCCGCGAAGGAGAGGGACACGGAGCCCATGCCGAAGCAGACGTGCCTTGGATTGCTGAGGACTGTCAACTCCGTGGCGTGACGCAATCTGATGCTAAACCCTAAACCCTAAACCCTAAACCCTAAACCCTAAACCCTAAACCCTAAACCCTAAACCCTAAACCCTAAACCCTAAACCCTAAACCCTAAACCCTAAACCCTAAACCCACCCAGGCCACGCTGATACCCGAGATGCGACACGTGACATGTGTTTTGCTGAGGGCCAAAGCATCGGCCAAAGCATCGGCCAAAGCGAAGTCTGTGCCGTGCCTGCATTCCAGCAAAAGGAGGTTTAGGGTTTAGGGTTTAGGTTCAGGGAAGTTTAGAGTCTCTGCTTGAAGCATGGGTCCCTAAGTTACGGTACCTTCTTGGGTCCCATACGGCACCCTTACGAAGAGGCGCCCCCTGAACCCCTAAACCCCCAAACCCCTAAACCCCAAAACCCCTAAACCCTAAACCCCAAACCCTAAACCCCTAAACCCCTAAACCCCGAAACCCTAAACCCCAAACCCCTAAACCCTAAACCCCAAAGGCAACCCTACACCCTCGAGAACGACCCCTTATGGCGCGTTTGAGACCCTAAGGTTTAGGGTGTATGGTTTAGGGTTGAGGGCTTGGGGTTTAGGGTTTAGGGTTTAGGGTTTAGGGTTTAGGGTTTGCAGGGTTTCTAACTGCTCTCCGAGGTGCCGGAGCCAAAGAAGGCCTGGCTGGGGTTTAGGGTTTTTGGAGTTTAGGGTTTAGGGTTTAGGATTTAGTGTTTAGGGTTTAGGGTTCAGGGTTTAGGGGGTGTAGGGGTTTAGGGGTTTAGGGCTCTTTTGGGCTGTTGGGGGGTTTTAGGGGTTTGGGGGAAACTTGCACGAGTACTCATGAGGCTTGCTTGGACAGCTGTGGAACCTTAGTAGTTTGGGGATCTAGGGGTTTAGGCTTCTTCGAGACCCGGATGCAAAAGGGGTTTAGGGGTAAAGTATGGGGCATAGCGGTTTGATGCAAAAAGGGGTTTAGGGGTGTCCCTAAACCCTAAACCCTAAACCCTAAACCCTAGCCCTTAACCTTAAACCCTACACCCCAAACCCTAAACCCTAAACCCTAAACCCTAAACCCTAAACCCTAAACCCTAAACCCTAAACCCTAAACCCTAAACCCTAACCTTCGGAAGCCTCGGGTGATGTGAGTAAGTATCCAGCGCATCCGAAGAGTAAGCAGACAAAGCAGAAGCAGCAGCAGAAAGAAGATACGTGTACATGTGCATATGCATACATCTGATACATATACATATATATATATACATATAGAGAGAGATGTATGTAATATACTTGTATCTATACATATTGCCCTTGTGGTTGCTGCTGTTGAGGTGGGATGCATGAAGGGACATGGCGCACCTCACGTTGCGGAAGTGGCCTTTTTTTTGCAGCTTTGTGGGCACCAGGAGCCGACCCAGACCCAGAAGGCCAAGGACGAGTGCCAAGCTGAGCTTTCTCTGGGTTCAAGGGTTTAGGGTTTAGGGTTTAGGGTTCAGGGTTTCGGGTTTAGGGTTTAGGGTTTAGGGCTTAGGGTTTAGGGTTTAGGGTTTTGGGGTTTCGGGTTTAGGGTTTCGGGTTTAGGGTTCAGGATGCTAGGAATGTGTTGGGATGTTCCCCCTTATACTAGCGGCTCCTTGATAAGGATTAGAATAGGGGGTACGATAATCCCATGGTACATCCCAAGGATTGTGGGTTTAAGGTTTGGGGGGTTCAGGGTTTAGGGTTTCCTGGGTTCAGTGAAGCATGTCTTCTCGTGCTTCAGAAGCCTGGGGCTATGCCATAGCGGCTATGCAGAGACCGGCAGGGAATGGGTCGAAGCAGATCCGCTTTCAGATGTGACCACCACTGTGTTGTGTGCTTCTTCTTCTTCTTCTTCCTATTCTTCTTCCTATCCTTCTTCCTATCCTTCTTCCTGTAGCCAAGTGAAGTCGATGCTGCCAAGGAAGCCCAAGAAGGATGGCGACGTGAAGCAGAAGGGCGGACAAGCCCCCAAGGAGCCCCAAGCCAAGAGTGCGCAAGAGCAAGCGCCGCCCGAGAAACCGCAGAAAGACCAGAGGGCTTCTGGTAAAGCTGCGACTGAGGGGATACTTGGGAACAATTTCTTAATGTTTGGTGCTATAAGCCCTTAAGAAAAAGCTAGAACTAGAGTTTTTGCTAGGGTGCTTAAGTTCAGTATAGGCGAAGGAGCAGAAGCAACCAGAAGCGGATCTGAAGGAGCAAGAGCAGCAAGAGCAAGCCGGGGTCCGGCAGAAAGCGCCCGACGAGACACCCGCCGAGAAGCAGCCGGGTGGCAAGAATCGGAAGGAGCAGAAGCAAGTGGAGAAGCAGAAGCAGCAAGAGCAGCAAGAGCAGCAGAAGCAGCAGGATCAGAAGCCCAAGAACCAGAAGCAAGACAAGAAGCAGAGCCAAAGGCAGCCAGAGAAGTTAGAACCCACAGCCAGGGACAAGGAGCTGAAGCAGTTGGTCATGGATGCTATTTCGCAACACAAGGCTGCCAAGGCTTCAAAAGCGACTTCGACTGCAGACACCCAGAGAACCTTGCCGGAGGAAAGGCCTTCAAAGAAGCGGAAGGAACCCGAGAGGGACACAAGGATGGACACACGGATGATGAGCGTTTTTGAGGATTTCCTCTGGGGTCAAGAGGCGCCTCAGTCGCCCCTGGGGCCACCGTCCTCCCTCGCTTCCGAGCTCCATGCGAGAAGTGCGGAGCTCAAGGAGCTGCTCATGGCTGGCCGGTGGCAGCCTCAGAGAATCTCAGGTTAGCACTTTTTAGGGTTTAGGGTTTAGGGTTTAGGGTTTAGGGAACGTTTCTGAAAGACACGAAGGGTGCTCGGTGTGTGCTGGCAGGAATCCCGACGTGCTCGCAGAGAAGGAAGACATGCTGGCAGACGCCAAGTCGCCGGTTCGCACGTGGCAGTTAGGGTTTAGGGTTTAGGGTTTAGGGTTTAGGGTTTAGGGTTTAGGGTTTAGGGTTTAGGGTTTAGGGTTTAGGGTTTAGGGTTTAGGGTGCGCGATCTTGCGCACAGCACGACTAAGGTCTTCCCAAGCAAAGCAGAAGCGAGACAAGTGCCTGGGCTTGTGTGAAAATGCATTCGAACAGGTTCTCAGAGCATGCTTTGTGGTGGCGTGTCCTGTTCTGAACCGCTTTGTGCTCAGTCGAGATGTAAACACTTGCTGTATCTCCGTTAACCAGGATGGGCTATTGGGCCTTTTTATCCCCACAATGAACCCCATGAAGGGCATTTTAAGGGATTAGAGGGGTGTAATGGCCCATCCTGGTAACCATGAACTGCACATGGGTGGTTGTCAAAATCCTGGTCCCTTTTGGATCCCTATTCTAATACTGTCGCCTGTTGTACAGCTTGGGGCAGCCTTTGTTGCCTTGCAGACGCAAGGGCGTTCGCCCACAGGCAATCAATCAATCAACCAATCAATCAATCGAATATGGCATCTAATATTGAGGGTACCCCAAAAGGGATCACAATTTTGACAACCACCCACATGAACTGTTGAGTCAAAGTCAAAGGCAGCAACAGTCGGCCAAAGACATGCCTGACGTCGCGCTCTCCCAGGAAAGCCTTCGCGCGGTTTAGGGTTTAGGGTTTAGGGTTTAGGGTTTAGGGTTTAGGGTTTAGGGTAATGCCTGAACTGAGCGTATTCTGCTGGATCTGTTTTGAAGCTGGAAGATGCTAGCTGCTAACAAAAGACTGCAGGAGCCGGCTGCCACGGCTTCCCCGCATCATCCCTGGCTGTGCCGCACGAGAGAGTCAGCAGACGTTCGGTGCTCTGAGGCTGACGGGCGTCTGTCAGTCGGACCCTATGGACAAGTTCCAATGCCCCTCCTGCATCATTTTGTACGGCAAGATCGTGTGGCACGGGTCTGCGGAGCTGTTGGGGAAGGGGGAGGTATACAACGGCTGAATCGCTTCGTCGTTCTTAGAACCAAAGGCATGGACTGTATGCTGGGTGCGGAGCCAGGTCCCTCCCTCCTTGGCGACGTCACGCTTAAAAGTGTCCTGGCAACGTTGGCGCGACCAACATGAGGAATGTTTGCAAGATCTGCTGAGGAAAGCCTCATGGGTCTTAGGTTGGGATGTTCCCCCCAAAACGAGCAGTCCTTAGTAATTATGATTATAGTACCCCCTATTGAACTCCCTATTGAGGACTGTTAGTATAAGGGGGAACATCCCAAAGGCTTTTGCATCCTTCGCCCACAGCTTGTTACAACGCCGAGGCCTGCAACCCGAGCCGATGTCCTCGCGAGCAACTTGCCTTATAGTATAATATAATATACTATAATATCATATACTATACTATAATATAACAGAATAGAATATACGATAATGGGATGTTACCATCACATGGAGACTAGTGATGACTAGGGACTGGGTGCGAACCGCATAAACCGCAGGAGCTCTTAGAACCAAACGGCCGCCCCCCCCCCACCCCCCAAAACAAAGAAAAAAACAACCTATATATATATATATATACATATACTTATATATATATATATATCTATCTAGAGCACTTCCAAGATGCGTGTGGGTTCGCCCCACCCTGGACGAACTGGAGACCTCTTCGAGGACTGCACATCCCTCACCTTAGGCGCAGGCATGCCCCGATTCCACGCAGGATCCTTTCATTCGGTTGTCGGCTCCGTTTATGTCGACCGACTCCCCATGACCCCCAAACCCTTAACCCTTAAAGCCTAAACCCTACATATCTCTCCATCTCTCCCTCTAAGTGCAAGTTCTATGCCGGAGGGGTGGAGTCCTCCCTGGGGAAGCGACTGCCTGAATCAGCATGGAACATTGGCAGGACACCGACGGAGAGGCCCAGTCCCTGTCTATTATTGCTTGGAGGTTCATAGACTCATGGGTACTTAGAACCAATAAGTCCAAGTCCACTTGCCTACTTTGAGGACTTGGGGGGCTTCTGAGTACGAATAGTCCTAACTACAAGTACGCTGAACCTCCAAGTAAGCCTCTGCTGCGCAGATGTCGTTTTGAGAGCCGGGGCGTGCAGACATCACCCTTGTGCAGGGCGATGAGAACTGCGAGGACGAGCCGCAAGCCAAGCCTTGTGAGGGCGAGGTCTTGCTGCAAAGTGCTGTGTTTCTTGAGGGTTCATCGAGCAGCAACCTGCAGAGAGTTCACGTCTGTGTTAGTGCTGCCAGAAATTTCGGCTGTTAGGGCCGGCAGCACTGCACGCGTGTCGAAGCTCGAGGGCCTTTCTTGCGAGTTCCAGCCTGCTTTGTAGCAATGCGCTCAGGGAGGCTGAGTCAGAGGAGGATAGCAAGGCCCGACACATGGCCACATAGCCAGTTCTGAGTCGATGTTTGCGAACTCTTTACTGTAACGGCCATTGAGGGCCCAGGTATATTTTTTGATTGTGCCGTTTGGTGATTCTGTGTCCCATATAGAGAGCTCTCAGACCGAACGTAAGCCTGGTAGGCAACTGGGGGCTTTCAACGCACGCAAACTTTAAGAAGGACAGCCAGGGAAGCATCCAAAACTACAGTGGCATGCCGCTACGCAGGGAGAGGACGTGGAGGAGAACCGGCGTTTGCTGAAGGAGAGGCGTGCACCTTAGGGTGTGCGATTTTTCTTTCGGTTGGGCCTTCTATCCATCATCTGCACGTCAGCCCTTCTTGAATGCCCCTCGTCGTGATCTTCCTTGTGTGTTTAAGAGCACCAAGCTGGAATTCAGAAGTCGGCTTCCCAAATTGACCTTGTGAGGTCAACCCAGAGGGTTGGTCGAACGAGGCGGAACCAGAAGACCCGCATTGCCAATGCCTCAATGACAGTTCGCTGAGCTTTCTCCAATGTCGCCCAGTCTCCCTAAACAAGTACTCCCCACTCAAGTTCCTTCAGGTTCGCCGATGCAACCCTGACGCAGGTGCCAGCTGCAGCCTTAACACACATTCGCGGGGCTTTGAGTGCCGTTGTTCGAACCGTGCTTGTTGAAATCCTTGGGGTGGACATTGCTGGGGTAGTGTTGACATGTTTTCTTGTATATTACTATATTGTTAATTAGTATACTATATTATAATTACGATTGTACAATTGTATTACGGTTGCCTTCCAGCCCACAGAGATCTCGAGGCAAGGGCTGCTCAAATCCTCGGTGCGAAACCTGCAACAAAGCCAACAGAGACGCGAAGAAGGCCAACGACTGAAAGGCTCGCTACGCCGGCAGCATGAGATAGCATGGACGGGATGCATGGTTTCATGCCTACCCGATATGGTTAGCACGGCTTTGTCAGCTCAGTGGAAGCGTCACATGTCAATTCCTGGAAGCTTCAAAGCACAGCCAGGAAGATTCAGGGTGGCATCAACAGGCTTAGATGTACAGTGGGCATCATGACGCATGCAGTCGTCGCGGAAGCTCTGAACATTGTGTCGGGAGTGTGGCTACACGACCAGGTTTGTGATGGTTCGGGCGCCGAGTGGTTTGGGCTCAATAATTCGGGGCAGAACGGGAGAGGAAGACAGGGGAGGAAGGAGCCTGCGAGCGGTTTACAGTCACTTCTCTTTTGTGGGCCGAAACCCTAAACCCTAAACCTTAAAACCTTCTCAAACGCGAAGCCCTCAAACGCGAAGCACTCCGACCGTGTCCCCGACTTGTCCCTGCAGAGTGGCCCTCTGGGCTCTGCTAGAAGGGTGGCAAAAAAAACCTGAAACCCTAAACCCTAAACCCTAAACCCCACACAAAAAGCCTGTCGTCAGGCTCTTGGAGCAGCTTCCAGGAGCCCGGACAGTGTGCACTGTGAAATTCGGACAGGTCGGAGTTTAGACGAATTTTGACTTGGCCCCAGAGCAGGGGGTTTAGGGTTTAGGGAATAAAGGAAGCCTGACAGCAAAAAAATCCAGTGGAAAACAGGGCTTAGGAAGCATAGGATGCCCAGCTCATTCCAACACCTCATCCCCTCCTGTCGTGGGCCAGTCGACAACCTTTGGAGGTTCGAAGCGCTGTGTGCAGTGCGCGAAGCCAGCCTATGGCAGAACCGTCAGAACCCTAAACCCCTAAACCCTAAACCCCAAGCCCTAAACCCCAAACCCTAGCCTGACGCATCTCTCTGATTCGGACCTCCAACGTTCGGTGTAGTAAGATCGAGGAAGAGGCACCGCGACCAGCCTGTCAAGTCGGCCCTTAGTGGTGCCAGAGGGGAGGGTTTCTTATTGGGTTTAGGGTTTAGGGTTTAAGGTTAGGGTTTAGGGTTTAGTTTAGGGTTCAGGGCTAGGGCGAGTACCTGCAAGGCCTGCTGCAAAAGAGGGGTTTAGGGTGGCTAGTGGTCCTTTTGCCCCATTGAACTTGGAGGGTGGCGTGGTTTAATGATGGTAGGCCGGTGGCATGAGAAGCCGCTGAGTAGTCGCATGTCTGCAAAAATGCCGACATGAGAAGCTGTCAACCAGCAACTTGGTGTCTTCAGTGCGACTGGACGCCGAAAAAAAGTCAGCTGACAACCGTGGGTCAGGGCCTGCTCGGCAGATTTGAGCGAGATTGACTTTGTGGCCAGCCGTGCCACGGCAAAATGCCGGAGTTTGGCTAACATCCAGCTTGCAGTTCCTCAGTTCCGCCTGCCAGATGTTCTATGTGACCCTCGCCAGCCGCAGTGTCTTGGTTTGGTTCAACAAGTCTGGTGACATGAGATATTGGTACTTTATGGTCAGCTTACTGAGACGGCCCTTCGTTCCGACTGATGGGGGGGGGGCGGTGATTCAGCTACGCAGTTACACGCCAAAGCATGGAAGACATTGCTCAGCAGCGCCGTTTCTTCGGTTCCCTTGGGGTGTAGCTTCCTTACAGCCTCGCAGCCGGCGTCGCGGGACGCCATGAATGGCCCAGGATCTGGTGCTGTAGACGTTGAGGCGCAGAAATGCCCGGGGCCATACATCATGTCCCGCCTCCCTAACCCCCCCCCCTTCCCCTAACCCCCCCCCACCCCCCACAAGAAAATACAGCGAAGCAATACGAACAATTGGCAACAAAAGGCAACAACAACAAGAACAATTAATAACAACCATAGCACTAGTAGCAATAATAACAATACCAATAATAGCAACAATAACAACAATAACAATAATAGTCATAATAATAGCAAAAACAATGGCAATAATAACAAGAATAGTAAGAATAACAATAATAACAACAATAACAAGAATAGCAATAATAACAAAAACAATAACAATAATTCTGTTAGTGCAGAACCTCCAAGGAGCTCATCCCTAAACCCTAAACCCTAAACCCGGAACCCGAAACCCGAAACCCTAAACCCTAAACCCCTAAACCCTAAACCAACAAAAAAACCGAAGTTGTCGGAGGCCGACAAGCTGAAAGCTGCCGGAAATGCCAAGCTGAAGGCAACGGCCCCCAGGATTTGCCGGGGTTTAGGGTGTAGGGTTTAGGGTTTAGGGTTTAGGGCCCCCAGCATTTGCCAGGTGACGGCTTACTACGAGTTGCTTAAGACCCCCCAAAAAACACAGCCTTTAATTGTGTTTTCTTTCTCTTTTTTTTGATTTTTTGGGGGGTTCTCAAGCAACGAGTCGTTTAGGGGTTTAGGGTTTAGTTTTGTTTTTTGTTCGATATTTCGGGTACCTTAATTGAGGTCCTTATTATAAGGGGATCCTACTATTGGGGTCTACTTTAGGGGCCCCTTCTGATCGCAAAGCAGACAGGTCCACTTTCTCTGCTTGAGGCAGGCGTTTTTTTGAATCAGGGATCCCCCTTGAGGTGCCTTCAAAACTTCGGATTTTTTTTGGTTTCCGGTAGAGGGTTTAGTAAAAGGATTTAGGGTTTAGGGTTTAGGGTTTAGAAAAATTCGCGATTCCAGTCTTAGACCCCAGGCCGGACAGGCAGCGGAGGCCTTGGCATCGTATCGGTCGGCGCTGTCACGCATCGAGGGCAAGGGCAAGGCCACCGGCAGCACCTCGTGACTTGTAGGGTTTAGGGTTTAGGGTTTAGGGTTTAGGGTTTAGGGTTTAGGGTTTAGGGTTAGGGTTTAGGCTAAGGGTTGCCTAAGCCCTAGACCCTAAACCCTAAACCCAAAGAGTGCAGCTGGTATTGCTGCATGGGTGCGAAGCAGTTTTTTTGTTCACCTTCTTCCTTTGCATGAGGGTGCTGGGTGTTATGGCGATGCTGCGCCATGCTCTGTAACCTGGCGGTTCAAGAGCTCCTGCGAGCTCTCAATCGGCACTGTATTACTCAAGCCGCCAGAATCACCATTCGTCAAAGACATCGTGTCGACATGCGGCTTTCATGAACTCGCTTGACCTTGCAGTACAGTTTCCCACCGTTCCCGGCTATGCCTCAACCCGTCAAGAAGCACAGCACTGCCCACATCACTACTCCAAAACTAGCATTGCACTGTCAATCCTTTCACCTTGGCGAGCGGGCGCAACGAGACTGCCTGTGCGGCCAGAGTCCCAGGAAATTCGATGAGTCTCTGGATGACATGCTTGAAATTCATGGTGCACGCGTCACATGGTCACTTTGCTGTGACAGAGATTCGCGTCCTTATGGATTTGCTGCGTAACCTGCGAGTGACTCACAGGTCATCTACTGGAAGAAAAGCTACACCCCCGCCTTCCTAGCCACAACCAAGTAGCTAGAGGTTCTTAAAAACCGATGTTGGAATCACCTAGCGTATCCAATCAACGTGGGAGCTTCAATTAGCACCACGCCGGCCAGTGTTCCAAGAATGGAAGGTTCTTGAGGTGTCACACCTGTGACACCTCCAAAATCTTGGCCCCTTCTGGGTTCCTCCAATGATAAGGCGGGCCTCTTATTTAGGGCACCCACCCCCCCCCCCCCCCCCCCCCCCCCCCCAAAAAAAAAAAAAAAAAGAAAAAAAGGGACCATAGATTAGAGAACTGGCCACAAGGCCCTAAACCCTAAACCCTAAGCCCTAAACCCTAAACCCTAAACCCTAAACCTGTTTTTCAATAAGTCTATAGTTATAAGTGCCTTCCACACCCGAGGCATGGTCACGGCAGCAGGCATGTTTGACACTTGTTCTTTCCGGTCCTTGTAGTAGTGGATGAGGGAATGAGGTACCCTATACAGTCCCTTAACTAAAGGGGGTTGAGGGTTTAGGGTAAAGGGTTTAGGGTTCAGGGGGATAGAAAGGGTGCCTAATTCCCTCACTTCCCTGCTCCAAGAACCAGGGGCTACCAGGGTGTCAGGTGTGTGTGTGTGTGTGTATGTGTGTGTCGCAGTTCACTGCGACAGTCTGCGCAGGTGGCGACTCCCGGCTACAACAAATCTTACAAACAAGGCCACCTGCATCGAAGGATTGGCAGGGATGTGCTGACCCCGACTTTCACGGACCTTTACTTGGAGGTTCACGAGTAGTTATTTCAATTCAGGTTAACAACCAGTTGTACTTGTAGTTACCCTACTTATAACCCTACTTATAATGACCCATGACTAAAATAAGGTTAACAACCAGTTATACTTATAGTTACCTTACTTGTAACCCTACTTATAATAACCCCATGAAACATCCAAGTAGGTGTTTAGCACCAGAACTGAGTCTTTCAGAGGCTCCTGCGATCTGAGGGGGCTGAGAACAATCACTGTGGGAGACCCAGAGGTCGACAGACTCACGACGTAAAGGTTTGGGGTTTGGGGTTTAGGGTTTAGGGTTTAGGGTTTAGGGTTTAGGGTTTAGGGTTTAGGGTTTAGGGTAGTAGCAGCAGCCAGAAAGTACATGGTCGATAGAAAATTATTGGTTGCCAGTAGTACCAAGAGGAAGTGTCAGAATCGGAAACCACGGAAACCACAAAGTGCAAAGCCCATAATGGCACTGCTGATAGAAAGCACGTAAAATTTGTAGTAGCGCCACTATTCAGAGCTGGCGGACGTCCTAGCACAAAAGCCTGTAATAACAAAATCCTAACAATGGTAAAAATAATCATCATAAGAAATAATAGGAAGAATAAGAATAGTATAATAATAGTCATGAAAATAGTATTAATGAAAAGAACCATAAGAATTACCATCGCAAAAAATAATCATAATCACAATAACAATTTAAAAAGTCATATTCTATCTGACACCCCGAGGCTTCACAAAGGAGCCCTCCAAAGGAAGCGCGGATGCGGGCTGCAAGCCTGCGTCTCTGAGTCCACCACAGGACTGCTCAGTTTAGGGTTTAGGGTTTAGGGTTTAGGGTCAGTCTTTAATTCAGAATTTGTAGGAGTTCGGGCGTCCTTTCGACTCCCCTTCACAAGGCAAGATTCGCGAGAGTCAGAAGCGGGAGGACAAGACGCTGGAGGATGCTTCTGTTGGGAAGCTCTTTTGCATGCACAGCGGAGACACCCCTCCGTCTCGGCCCTATGCCGGCGCAGCCGTCGCAAAACGAAAGGCTCCTTGAACACTGCCTTAACTAAGGCCCACGCCGCGCACTGGCAGTGGGGAGCCCAAGTGCTTGGAGGTTCATGGGTACTTATAAGTCGGGTTAGAAGTAGGGTAGCCATGGTTAGAACCTCATGTCGGGTGCTTGTAAGCCACTTGTAGGTACCCCTGAACCTTCTCGTGTCCGCTTTGTCTGCTTCAGGGGGCGGGAGGGTTTTGCTTCGCGTGAGGTGACCACTTCCCTTGCCCTGGTGAAGCAGCCAAGCAGGGGAGTGAAGATGAGGCCTTGACTGAGAGTCTGCGAGGTTGCCAAATGGGGCTTGCGATCTTGGGGGCGGGGGGTACCTTATTGGGGTCCTTATTACAAGGGAATCCTAGTATTTGGGTGTCTATATTACCGGTCCCTTGTTATCGTAAACCCCCAGAATCTTAAGGCAAAGGTGCTTCGACTGGACGAGTCTTGTCATCTGCAACCCTACTGAGCCCTACTGCTAGGCGGAAAGCACCGATGGCTTACCAGACAGCCAGGCTGGCCGTGTTTTCCGATCCAGCAGGTCGTAGATGAGCATTTGTTCCTGTGGATCATGTGCACCAAACTTTCCGCCCCTAAGCCCCAAACCCTAAACGCTAAACCCTCGTGTTGAGTATGAAGCAGCTTTTGTGGTGCGCTGGGGATTTCTGGGGGGAATCCATTTTCTGTGGGGTTCTCCGAGGATGTACCAGCCACTGCACGGCATTTATACTCTGCCGGTATATATATATATATATATATACTTTGCCAGATTCTCTGCTCTCTGTGGGATTCTTGGGTTTTGGGTTTTGGGTTTAGGGTTGTTGCGGGCAGTCTCTGTGTGAGGGCATTGTACGACATTGTACGGATACTCGGCGTATGGGTGGGCACTCCTGGGAGGCGCTGCAGGATTCTGTGTAAGATGTTCTGAGTGGGATTGGGCACTCTCCATCAAGCTCTCTGCAAAATTCCCGATGAGAGGATCTTCTGGAGGATTGTCTAGAGTTTTCCTTTCCAATTGGCGGAGATCTGGGGTGTGGAGAATGGCTCATTCTTGTGGACTTCGGGTCCCGCAAACATTCTGCAACCTACATGACGTCATTGAGAGAACAAGGAACTACAGCTACGGGTCTATTGGGGTTCTTAAGGGAGGTAGGGTACCTAGCTTGGGGAGCCTTAGGGAGGTAGTAGATCTTGTGAAGTCATGGTCGGCTGCTTGTGGAGGAGGTCATGGATGGGGATCTGTCACACTACGCCGCGGCCTCATTCGATTCGCCTTATAATAAATACAGTCATTATTGGTGTTATAATACAGTTAAAACTGAACCTCTAAGCAAAGATCCTACGCAGTCTCTTCATGCTATCACACTTGAAAGTTCATGGGTACTGCACAAGTGGGGTTCTCAGTGCCCTAAACCAGGTTATCAATATAGTTATCCTCCCTATACCCCCATTTATAAATACCCATGAACCTCCAAGTAGCCCTCGACCCTAAACCCTAAACCTTAAACCCATAATACCCCCACTTAGACCAATCCCAAAACCCTACCAAAATCCTAACAAAACCTACAGCCACAAGGACTGGCAGTTCGAGCTCATGAACAGATCCGGACTTAGTCCTGGGGAGCCGTCTTGTGCGATCAAGGGCGTTTGCCTGTTGGAGTTTGTGGCCTCATATGGTCAGTTCTCCATATGGCCCTGTTTGGGTCATCCTAAACCCTAAAACCTAGACCCTAAACCCTAAACCCGAAGCCCTGTAATGAGGCTTTCAGAGCTGACCATGATTCAGGCATGCCCCGGGAGAAAGCCCTGGAGCTGGCTCGGGTACTCAAGCGCTCAGAGAAGGACACGCAACCAGTCATGAACCACTTTTTGCAACATGTTCGGATGAGTAGGGTTTAGGGTTTAGGGTTGAGGGTTGAGGGTTGAGGGTTGAGGGTTTAGGGTTTAGGGTTTAGGGTTCAGGGTTCAGGGTTCAGGGTTCAGGGTTTAGGGTTTGGGGTTCAGGGTTGACGGTTGAGGGTTTCGGCTTGAGGGGGTGCCGACATTTTCAACAGTGTCCAAACGTCACAGCCGGCACCTGCAGGAGAAGGTCCTCGAGAGTGGCATCCTTATAGTGCGACATCCGTCTTAGGGTTTAGGGTTTAGGGTTTAGGGTTTAGGGTTTAGGGTTTAGGGTTTAGGGTTTAGGGTTAGGGTTTAGGGTTTAGGGTTTAGGGTTTAGGGTTTAGGGTTCTGTAGCAAGGCAAAACTGAAGCTAGGCTTCTGAATACGAAGCCACCCATTGCATCGCAGCGTGTCGTGGCAGATGCCGCTATTTCAGAGGCTTGCTGGTGCAAGAAGGACCCAAACCCTAAACCCCAAACCCTAAACCCTAAACCCTATTGGAGCATCAGTGGTTTCTCTTCCAGCCTTCCCAGGTGCCAAACTGCGGCAAGAAGTCGTGGAACTGAAGCGGCAGGTGAACAGGCGCTTGGGGTGTCAAGTCCCCTGTCGGTAGGAAGCTTATTTCTACAACAGGGTTCAGGGTTCAGGGTTCAGGGTTTAGGGTTTAGGGTTTAGGAACATCAAATTCATGCTTCGGCTTGGATGTGTTATGTGCTGCGACGCCAATGCAGGTCATCTTCGAGTTCAGCAGTCAGCTTCCCAGTCGCTGATGAGCAAAGTCCCCGTGGCAACATGTGATACGCCCAGCGAGCTCGCAGCAAACTGGTAGAATAGGCAGAATAGGCCATGTTGTCTGGATTTCGGAGCTCTTGTTCTCTTCCTGCCGCCCAGAAAACTCGATGTATGCTGCTTCTCTCCACGCTGGTGGCCTTAGTGGCGATGGCATTTGCCATGGATGCCGGGGCCTCGAGTTGGCGACAGAAGGGGGTAGGGTATTGGGGTATCTTATATGGCAGTTCCGTTTCGGAGAACTATGAGTGGAATTTCGGGAGCTGATATCTCGCAGGTTTTAGGTCACACGGGGGGAGGGGGTGCATCTTGCCTGAGTTATCAGGACTGCGCGCGGTATCCTCGATCAGGGGGGGCCCCACCTAAGGGTGTCAAAATACTGCAACCCAATTTCTGCAAAAAGTGGAATGTAATGCACAACAGGATTCTACCACTTTGTTTGAGCTGCTTGCAGCTTTGCTGCGGCAACTGCACGCAAGTCCTGCCTGCCTGCCAAAAAAACACCGGCCGACGACCTCCGACATTCCCTGTAGTGGTATGGACTGCTGTTGCCTGACTACCCAAAATGGGAAACTCCATGTTCTGGAGTTTTGGGGTTCGGGAAAAAGAAATGGTGGTTACAACAGGACCAGATTCGTGGCCTACAAAGGAATGAAGAAGAGGTAGCCAAAAGGACACCACAGACTTGGCTGCGGTTTGCTTGGCGGAGCATGATGCTGGGGAACCCTTTTTTTTGGGTGTCGAAGCAGAGGAAAGATGATGAATCGGTTCCCGACTACCAGGGAGACCGCGGCCTTTATGGCTGACACCATGGGGCGAGGCCACCGCCGAGAGGGTCGAGCTTGATGTGGTGGTTCGGCTGGTGACGCAAAGGTCTGCTCTCATCAAAAAGCAGCCCGGCGTCAAACGGCACCAAGGATAAACCATCTTGACCATGGACGCACCTGTGCAAACCTCCTACTACCGCTCACATTCGGATAGTGAGCGTTGTTGGCGCTGGACGATGACCGAGGGAAGCCGGAGGTATGCCCCAGCTTCTTTACCGCGCAGGACTTTGAGTCTGAGGATGAAGAACTCCGGGAATGTTCACGTACAAAAAGTATAAGCCAGCTTCGCAGAAGGGAGCCGATGGATCCCGAACAAGTCGAGGCAGGTCACGCCGACGAGAGCGAAATGGTGAGGGTGGAAGGTGAAGATTCTGTTGAACTGTACCGAAGCCCAGGTGCAAAGGCTGCATGTTCTCCCTATTCCCGGTTTGGTCTCATTAGATGAAGGACATCCGCACAATTCTTGCGCCCTATCAGTTAGACCTCAAAGAAAGGTACGTACAGTTTGTAGATCTACAATGGACTTATGAAATCAATCCACTTTCCACTGAGTTTTTGTACGGGTTTCTGTATAGAAGAGTCACGGGTGTGAAGTAGGGCTCCTGTACCAGCACTCACGAAGCCTGCTAGGAAAATTTGTAGTGTTTTTTGCGGCTGAAGAAGCAACATGGCTTGAGTCTTGAGACTAGCAGTGACCGACCGCCCCCTCTTTTAAAGAGCCAAGGCTGGAAAGGGAACACGGCCAGTTTGCGCACCTACATTCTAGAACACTCGTGCGTTTCGCGGGTTACCGATGGCGCTCAAAAAGTCGCTGTCTCCATATATACATATATATATATGTGTGTATATATATGTACACACACATATACATATATATGTATACGGATTGATTTCCGACCAAAACGCACCCGACTTTCCACGCATCGCGCTGACCCTGAGCTGCCAAATCTGCAAGGTCATACCGCTGGAGAAAGTGTGGACCATGCTCGACGACAAGGCAAGCGGTTTAACGGTTATTTGGCACAAATGATGGACTTGCAGGATTTGGCACGGTTTTGTCGAGTTATGGCTGCTGCGCAGGTCAACGCTACATTTTCAGCGCTTCATCCCGCATCACCTGATGTGCCCAAGCACGCATCAAGCGGATTCGATAGGAGGTATATGTGGCAGAGGGAATGCAGCGCTGGGCGATGATTTTCGTGCGCGCTTGACATAGGAATGGACAGAGGCCTCAACTCAAGTGCGAGGCTTTGGAAGCCCGAGCAGGAAGGGTTGTCACAGACTCCAGGCTTGATAAAATGCGCAACGCAGGTGCTGCCTGCCAATGTCACCACAGCTGCGGAACCTGTGCCCGAAGAGGCTGGCAGCGGGGGGGTCTTCAGATGGTGTGATGGTGTGTGGCGATTGTTCTACATTCTCTCTTACAAATCGTTTGCGACACGATGCAGTTCGAGTAAATGGACCCCTCCTTCCTAAGGGTTTAGGGTTTAGGGTTTAGGGTTTAGGGTTTAGGGTTTAGCGAACGACCCGCGTGTTGCAACACGCTCAGGCCCGATCCGAAGCTCCCGCCGAGCCGAGCGTCGTTGCGCCCGAGCCCGCGTCCGTGGCATGGCAACCGATGCGGAGGGTTTAGGGTTTGAGGTTTAGGGTTTAGGGTTATTAGGGTTCCCAACCTTGTTGAAGAGTGATTTTCTTCCAGAAGTACAAGTACGTATGATAAGGGGATCCGAAGGGGCATTTCGTGTTGCTGGTTCACGATGCTGGGTTTGCTGCTGGTGTCGCTGTGGCTGCTGCTGATGATGCTGATGATGGGGATGGTGATGCGGATAGTGATGCACCAGAGCAGCAGATGACACCGTAACGACCCGCACCAGCCGACAAGAAGTCCTCATAACTCCTCTATTGCGTGACTTAAGCCCAGTCCCGGGCAGTTGCATGTTGCCGCTGCTGGGCACCTTTGAGATGTATGAAGTTGCATTTTTGAAATTGCATCTTGGATAATGTGGTATCCTGATTAGTGTGGGGGGGCCCCCCCCCCCCCCCAAACTAAATCCACCCCCGCAATAGTGTCACCAAAAAAAGGGACCCCCCCAAACTAATTTTCGGCCCCGGGCCCCCCCCACCGGCTCCTCTTCATTTCCTCTTCGCTCCTCTTCCCTCTCCTCTTCCTCTCCCTCTCCTCTTAGGTAATTAAGCTCAGGTAACATCTTGTTCTCTTTTTTTCTCTCTTCCGAAACCCATGCCCGAAAAACTTTACTTTATTGTGGGGGGGCAATCGAATTTTTGTCTCCTGAATAATTTTTGGACTACTTTTCATTATTGGAGGGGTCCAGACTAATCAGGATACGACATTAAACCCTAAACCCTAAACCCTGAACCCTAATCCCTAAGCCCTAAACCCTAAACCCCAAACCCTAAACCCCAAACCCTAACCCCTCCCAGGCCTTCCCGCCTGCATGCTGCGTCGTCGCCTCTCTGCGCTGGCAGCGCCATCGCCTACGTGCCTCGCGCTGTTGAAACCCCGAAGCCCTGAATCCTAAACCCTCCTAGACCCTAAGCCCTAAGCCGTAAGCCCTGAGCCCGAAACCCTAAACCCTAAACCCGAAACCCGAAACCCCAAACCCCAAACCCGAAACCCTAAACCCTAAACCCTAAACCCTAAGCCCTAAACCCTAAACCCTAAACCCTAAACCCTAAACCCTAAACCCTAAACCCTAAACCCTAAACCCTAAACCCTAAACCCTAAACCCTAAACCAAAACCCTAAGCCCAAAAGCTCACTGTCGCTCAGGAGCCAGCACCCACGACACCCGTCGTAACGCCGCCACCGGCGGCAGCGCCAGCACCACCGACCGCCACGCCTCAGTCAAAGCCGGCAACGCGGCAACCGACTAGGGTTTAGGGTTTAGGGTTTAGGGTTTAGGGTTTAGGGGTTTAGGGGTTTAGGGGTTTAGGGGTTTGGGGGTTTCGGGGTTTCGGGGTTTAGGGGTTTAAGGGTTTAGGGTGTAGGGTAGGCTGCGCGGCAGAGCTCGCGGGGTCAAAAAAGGGTAGGCGCAGCAAAGCAGCGCCATTTTTCATGAGTTTTGTCGTGCATGAATATGAATTCAGGAAGTCCCAAACTGTCCCAAAGATGCACCCGATCCCAGGCATCACAGCAGGTGCGACTGTGGGCTGCTGAGGCACCTCTTTAGGGTTTTAGGGTAGTAGAGGGTAGTTTTAGGGTTTAGGGTTTAGGGTTCCTACTTTTTAAGGAATAGAATGGAGCCCTGTCTGCCAGGTGACTAGAGGCGTCTGCAAAGTCGAGCTCTGGCACCCGGCACTTTCTCAGGACTTGACTATAGGGTTTCGGGTTTAGGGTTTTGGGATGTTCCCCCTTTATACTCGCAGCTCATGAATAGGGATTGTAATAGGGTGCACGAAAGTCCCGATTATACTAATAGTCCTTCTGGGGGTAATCGTACCCCGTATCATAATGCCCATTAAGGACTGTCAGTATAAAGGGGGAACATCCCAAAATGTAGTTATTGTTATTGCACCGCAATCCATGTGAGACTCGTGAGCGGTGTACTGTCAGCGGCACCCACAGGATAAGGCTGCCATCGGGAAAATTGAGGCCGGCTCGGGCAGTGCAGTGACGGAGCCGACTTGTAGCAGCGTCTGAGCAAACTAAGCATGAGGCTAAACCCTAAACCCTAAACCCTAAACCCTAAACCTTAAACCCTAAACCCTAAACCCTAAACCCTAATTTAGTCAGTGGTGATTTGCCGCTCCATGCCTGCCGCATGCTCACTTGCAGCCTTTGTGTCAGACGGACCTCGGCAAAGCCATGAGCTTCTTCCCCAAGGTCACTGAGGCCCTCTATACCCCTAAACCCTAAACCCTAAACCCTAAACCCTAAACCCTAACTCATAACCTAATATACCCCCTCCCCACCCCCTAATACTACCTACCCCCTTTCTAGACTCGAATTTGACTATAGTGGGGGGGTATATAAGGGGGAAGTGGGGGGGGGGAGGGGGGGAGGGGGGACTTCATATTTGGGTGAGGGGATTACAAGGCTGGCCTCTGCCTTGGACAACCAGCTTAGCTGCAATCCCCGTCCCCGAATGCTTTGATTCAACCCTGATATTAAGCAAGTGCATGGCTGCATGTTACTGTATAAAAAAACCTGAAAGAAAGACGATATAGCAGGAAAGGAGAGCAGTATGGAGTATGTAGCGCATAGTGTGTATATACATATGTATATATGTAGCTTCGTCTGTTGTTCATACAGTCTTTCGTCAAGCATGTTATTATATAATATATTGTAGTACATCAGAGGATATATGATAGCATATTCTCTCATATGATAGTTCCAAGCGAAGGGTGGGTAGCACATGACGGCTCTCCGAAGAATAGTTCCTTTTGCGCTTCCTGTTTGATGCAGGCTCTTATACTTGACGTACCCCAAGAAAGCTCAGAATGTACCCCATGTAGAGGGCACAATCATGGGTAGACCATGAAGAGCTACCAGTAACGTACGCCTCAAGGCACCGGCAGAGGTTGCACCTGTAGGTCCGCACCCTCAACCGCAAAAAAAATGCGCCGCCAGACTTTCCGCTTCGCGCAGATCTTCGTCACGAGGAGCTTGCTGAATAACAAGCAGGCTGCCGCGATGGCGGTCTGCCGTTCTCTGTTGCCTCGCTGAGTGCAAGCAAGTGGAGCGAGTGACCTAAAAATCCTTAAACCCTGATCCCCCACTAAGCCATGACCCCTGCGCAAGGTAGCCCTGCAAGCGAACTTGAACCTTGCCAATGTGGGTGCAGCCGCCTGGCCTCCAACGACCAGGCTAAGGCGTGGCATGGGGCATGTGAGTGGTTCCTGATGGGTCCCTCTCATCTTTCGCGGGCCCGATCTAAATAATTGCACATGATATGGAAAACATAATAATTGCACATAATATGGAAAACATATATATGTGCATATGTGTTTTTATGTTTGCAGATACATTTCATAGATATTTGATTTGCTTCGACCGTCCCCCACCCTGCAGCCATCTGATGCGCGAGCCATCCAGCTGCTTTCAGACAGGTAACTACGGATGCGCTGCAGACTTGTGTCTCTCCATGAGAATCTTTCAGGGTGGGCACTCCAGGGATACTCAGCGAGACTCCCTCCTTCATTCTTCTAACCCACTCCATAACCCTAAACCCTAAACCCTAAACCCTAAACCCTAAACCCTAAACCCTAAACCCTTGGAATTCTGCCGACTTCTCTGCAAGTGGGCACTCCAGGGCTCTCTGGGAGTGGGCTGGGGGGGGGCCTTGCGGGACACGGGCGACTGAAAACACCCCCCGGGTGGGGAAGATTTCTGTTTATATGTATGCATGCATGTATGTGCGTATGTCTGTATGTATGAGTATGTGCATGTGCATGTGCATGTGCATGTGTATGTGTATGTGTATGTTTGACGTATATATGTACATGTATATATATATACTTATGCATATGTGTGTGTGTTTCCCCGTCCTTATTCATTTTGTTCAGTTGAATGTGGGTCGGACCCAAGATTCACGATTCAAGATGCTCGGCAGAGATTTTTAAACTTGTCTTAAATCTATGCCCGCCCTTCTCAATATTTTCCAGTTCTTCCCACAACGGTGGGCTTTAGTATATTTATACATATATATATATATGTATGTGCAAAAAGGACCGTGATTGAAAGAAGAGCTACCGGTTCGAAGCTTCTGCCTCTGGTTTTTGCAGGCTCATCCACGGTGCTGGGATGGGCTTGTGGGGCCTGCCGATGGCTTAGTAGCTGTTCATGCCTGCTGATGCCAGGCACAGGGCTCGTCCGGATGGCTTCAAAAGGGACCTCTCTCCAAGTATTTTGGCCTGCTCGGATCACGTCTGCGACCATGGGGAGAGTGTGAGCTTGGCACAGTTTTGGCTCGGCTTTAGCCTGCCAGCCCCCGAATCCCTGAAACCTTAGCTAGTCGTGCCGAAGCCGCCATGGGTTGCCATATCTCGACGGCCGCGCCGACTTCGGAAGTAGTAGTCTTGCGGGACGAGGCAGCAGCAAAGACGATCCTTGAGCGTTGCCACGAAGAGAACAAAGCTGCCGATGTGTCGAAAGCGCCCGGCAGACGCATCACCGACGCGATGGACTCGTCATGGGATTTCGAGAGGATGCCTGTCGCCGTGCCTATATCCCCCTTGGGAATGATTTTTTCAGTTTATATAAAACCCAAGAGGATATTAAACATGTCATTTTTATTAAGGTTGAAAGGGGAGTATAGGTGCCCCCTGGCTTGGTCGTCCACCGTCCGCCGACGCGGCGATTGCACGAGAGGCATCTGGAGAAGCTGAACCGCCTCAGTTCTAAACAGCAGTTACGTTTCGGGCTGTCGTCTTCTTGTCACGAGCCTAAAATCGCTAAACCCTAAACTTTGGCCGTAAGCCCTGGAAGTCGAAGCCGCAGAGGTTTTCTCGCTGATGTGGAGCATCAGCCCCAGATGCTGGAGGACCTCATCGACACCCGGCGCTGTTCGCTCACAGACTCCTGTGCGTTGCTATGGAAAAGACACGGAGAAGGATTCGGAGAGCAAGTCTGCCTGACATTGTGACTACTATTTGCTTAAGAACCCCCAACAAGCAAGAAATTATGCGTAGTTCTTAAGCAACTAGTAGGTGACTCATGCAAATTTCCCAGTTTTAATCTTCAGATTACAGGCTCCGTACGAGTGTAAACGTGCAAGGCGGCACAGGCCAGTTGCATCTATACTTGCACGTGAAAGCCACGACACGCAGTCGGTGTTTTCGATGGCATGCACTTGTAGATGATGACATCCATATCCATGCCCGGAGCAATCCATGCCCGAACGATGATCACGTCCATGCGACCGGCACATGTGGGTATTTCCCAACATAGGGGTACCCCTTCTATACCCCAAGTAAAATATATGGAATAGACTCCCCTCAAAGAGAGCAACAGAAAGGGTACCTCCATTTTCGGAACCCCCCCCCCCCTTATGCTGCGTGGAGTGATGATCGCGTCTGTTGCGTGCAGTAGGAGTTAAGGGAGGGTAACCCTAAGCCCTAAACCCGAAACCCTAAGCCCTAAGCCCTAAACCCTAAACCCTAACCCTAAATCCTAAACCCTAAACCCTAGCTAGTAGACGTCCAGACATCCTGAAGTCTGAAAAACCATCCTGCCATTGCAGCTCTGCATCTACAAAAAACACTCGGCAGTGGCAGTGCTTGAACTGCCAATCGCGTGCACCGTGTCAGGGGTTTCGGGTTGAGGGTTTAGGCAGCCACACAGCCTTCCCCTACTAGTAGGGGCCCGAACAAACGGCGCATCGAAACCACTCCAAGTGAGTGAGTGAGTGAGTGAGTGAGTGAGTGCTGGCTCACTGCACGAGGTCGCACGCGCAGGAGCCGTGCCTTTGGCGCTGTTCCCTTCCGGATTCCTCGGGAGCTCCGCAACCGTCATTGCCCCCTCCACTTGGAGTTCACGTCCGGCAGGCGCCCCAACCCCGAGACAACGCTCTGAGGTCGGCAAGCCCGGTTAAGCAAGAGGGTTTGTCCACCATTTTGCACGGAACCACAACTAGGCAGGCCCGCCACCGGAAAGCCGGCATAAAGGCAAGACAGCGTGCCATCCTCGCTGAGGCCCATGCAAAACAGCGCTTCCCCCCAAGATCCCTCTTCAAGGTACTAGGCCAGGCAAACAACATCGCCTCTGCGTTGGGCAATGCGCAGCCGCGTGCTAAAGCAGCAGGCACACTTCTCCGCAGATCCCTCTACGGATACCACGTGCACAACGCGACCCATGCGCTCCGGGGACTCACTCATTCACCACCGTTTCCTGTGAAAGGGGGAATGGCAGGCTCGGGCCATTCACCTACAAACAGGTCCCTGTCGCTGTGCCCTCGGAGTAGAGGGGTGAAGACCAAAGCTCCGGTCACCACCCACCCCGGAAACCACTCCAACACCCCAAGTTTCCTCACTCTGAAGGTCGCGTTGGGATAAGATGGAAAAGGGGTGGGGGGTGGGGCAGGCGAGTTTACGCAAACTTACAATCCGCAGAATATCGCATGCACATGTGTGCTGAGCGCATCTACACACGTATGGAGCATGTTGTAGACTTTGTTCGGCCCACTGAACTTGTATAGATGTCGGCAGCCTGATGGCAGATGGATGGAGGTTCCTGCTGACGACTCGGAGTTCGTACTTCCGCAGTGTCTCGCCGTACTGTTTCACCTTAAAGTGATTTTAAGCGCTGAAGCTTGACCCTGAAAAAGCCAGCATGTTTTCCCTCTCAGACCTTTTCAATTGAGGAGGCTGTGCCATCAGAATGTTTTGATATCAACACTTGCTGCAGGACGCATGCTTTGTCGATGGATCTATCGCAGTCCCCCAGCAAAGCCAAGCCTTCGATCAACTTCAACGCCCCGTATACAAAGTCTCGACACTACTTGGAGGTTCATGTTCCTTGTTAACCAAATCTAACTGTACTTATAACTGTACTTAAAACATCTTAAAACCATATTCGGGCACTTCGGGGGCTTATAAGTGGCTTAGACGTACAGTTATGATTGGTTAGTAAGTACCATGAACCTCCAAGGTCCCCCTCCCCCCCAATCCCCCACCAGTGACAGCCAACGCAAGACGCAAGGTAGGTTTGGGATCTATGTCTTGTACCCACCTGACACCCCTGAAGACCTAGCCCCACTCTCAGCCCCACGTAGCACAGAAGCCTTTTCTTTGTTTCTGTTGTGCGTTGTTGCCGGATGTTCTTGCTTGTTGGTTGTACTGGCTGTGCCGGGTTTGGCGAAATAAGTTCTTTGCTGCTAAGCCCGAAACGCAAACTGCTGAAAGCTGCTGAAAACCCTGCTAAACCCCAAGCCATAGTTGTGTGGGAAGCCTGTTGGCCTGCAGCTATCCCCGAAGCCTTGGAAGTTTGGCTGATTCTTCGCCACCTTGCTTCGCGGATTTTGGGGTGGCTCCCAAAACAGGGTTTTAAACCCTAAACCCTTAAAGGTTCGACTAAGGGTCATCGTGTTTTTGGGGGCCATCGTCTTCCCGGCCGATGGAGTTGGCCCGAAGTGCTCAGGGCTCCAACCACGGAGTGCTTCAGTTTTTCGGGGCGGCAGCCGACGGCCACGGCTGCCTGGACCTCCTTGCTCGGTTCGTCTGTTTAGGGTGTAGGGTTTAGGGTTTGAGGGTTGAGGGGACTCCGGACAGGCTTCAGAGGTCCGTGTTAAAAAAGGGTTGAGGAACATGTTTTTCGAGGAATGCCACGGTAAACCCACGCAACCCTTGGCATTCAGACTTTCTGAGCTGGGCAACTGCGGACGCATGTAAAGCCCATTGCGGCCACGCTGCGAGCTGTGTGGCTTTTTGTGAGGCTGCTAATTATGGCAGCAAGACCCTAACCCTAAACCCTAAACCCTAAACCCTAAACTCTAAACCCTAAACCCTAAACCCTAAACCCCCCAAACTCCCAAAACCGAAGAACAATTTTGGCAGGCGGGAAAAAATATCAGCTTCCCGGTTCGAGAGGAGAGGAGACCAGCTTCCGGGTTCAAGAGGGGTTTAGGGTTTAGGGTTGAGGGTTTAGGGTTTAGGGTTTAGGGTTAGGGTGTAGGGTTTAGGGTTTAGGGTTTAGGGTTTAGGGTTTAGGGGTGTCAATGATTGGTGGCCGCTGAGGGAACTGGGGCAAGCGGTCATGCCCGGTGCTCAAGTGGAGCTGTCGCTGCAGCTCGAGGCCAGCTGCGCAGTGAACTGTGAGGGTTTAAGGTTAGGGTTTAGGGTCACGCTAGACAGATGGAGCTACGCCGGTAAGAAGCACGTCCGGATCCGGGGAGGAGTTGCTTCTATAGATTTGGGCCTGAGCACAAGACAAGGGCTTGAGGTCAGGTAAAGTGGCTATGAACAGATGTCTGTGTGCGTGTGCCTGTGCCTGTGGCTGTGGCTGTGGGTGTGCGTGTGGGTGTGGGTGTGTGTGTGTGTGTGACCCTTTGGTGGCATTCACGTAGGGACATGAGTCATGAGATCCTCCCCAAAGGCTCAACTCCAGTGACTCCCCACTCCCATGAAGAGGAGGGTACATGAACGACACACGTCACTACACCCTGTCTCATCTTCCTCCTAAATTCATTAACACGCAAACCCCAAACCCCAATATACCCTTACTACCCTATGCCCTAAACCGCCAAGCACACCCTAAACCTTGCAGAGCCCGCGTCCCCTAATGCCCCAAAGACCCTAAACCCGCAAAACCCTAAACCCTAGTACCCCAATGCCTTTTATACCCTAATGCCCTATATACCCTAACCCCCCCCCCTCCCCCCTTCCAAGGCCCTAAACCCAAGCCCTATTTTTCCGTAAACCCCCCAACGCCCTAAACCCCAGTTCCCTGATGCCCTGCATACCCTAAAGCCCAAGCCCCAAACCCCAAAACGGGGGAAAAAAACTAAACCCTAAACCCGAAACCCCAAGCCCTAAACCCTAATCCCTAAACCCTAAGCCCTAAACCCTAGGCCGTAAACCCTAGACCCTAAACCCTAAACCCTAAACCCTAAACCCTAAACCCTCGGAAAGCAAAGGGAGCGCTGAGCACTGCTTGCAGAGAGCGCGTGCCAAACCCTAAACCCTAAACCCTAAACCCTAAACCCTAAACCCTAAACCCTAAACCCTAAACCCTAAACCCTAAACCCTAAACCCTAAACCCTAAACCCTAAAAACCCTAAACCCTAAACCCTAAACCCTAAACCCTAAACCCTAAACCCTAAACCCTAAACCCTAAACCCCAACCAAAGCCGCAGGTGCCCAAACGGGGCGAAGGGGACGGCAGTGACTTTGCGCGCCATGCTCCGGCACTCAGTGGAAGCGCACTTTGCCGTGTTGAATCTGGGTCCCATCTTCTATATATATATATATATGTTTTTTGTTGTGGGGGGGGGGGGGGGGGGGTGTAGGGTTTAGGGTTTAGGGGTTAGGGGTCGGGTTAGTTTAGGGTTTAGGCTGATGTCCTTTCCCAGCTGGCTAGTCAGGAGTGGGGGTTCAAAAAAAAAGGCTGATGTCACGATGTTGAGCAGTTGCCATTGGTCATCTTCAAGTTGTCAGGTTGGAGGCGTTTGTATCAGCCTAAGGGTGCTCCTTGTGTAGAGATTGGGATCTTCACCCTTATACGAAAAGTCCTTAATAGGGATTCTACACTCCCCTATTACGATTCTTGTACTCACAGTCCTTATACTAACAGTCCTGAATGGGGACTCGCGAACACGCGATTTTTATGCCTATTCAGGACTTAATAGGGATTATAAATGGGGGTTTCAAAATCCCTAGTCAGGACTGTGAATATAAGGGGGGAACATCCCAATGTAGCCAGCCCAAGGTCGGGACAACCTGTCAGCAAGACTATTTGTGGGGGGTGTCCGGGAAAAGGGGTACCCTTTTTGGGGGTTCCTTTGTACAGGATTACGCAGTGCAGTTGCGGTAAGTAAGGGGTACCCCCCATGTTCGGAAATCCCCCAACTTTGAGACCCATGGTGCCCTCATTCTTCCCAGCTCTTAAGGTTTGGGTGCTCGCAGATGCCAACAACGAGCCCTTCGGCCCTTTGCTGGTAGCAGAGGCCGGTAGTCGTGAGGATCGGGGATCCGCGGCATGGGCCCTTATCAGATGGGTCCCTTATTATGTAGCCTTATATACACGATACTAATACTAAGGGCCCATACTTCGGGGATCCCTATAAACAAGGGAAGTAGGGGACCATACTACAGGCCTAATGGTTCCAACCCCAGACAGGAGCTCTCCTAGTAACCTAGTATCAGCTTAAGAACCCCAAAAGAATGAGACATAATAATCCCTAGATTACCCGTAGTCAGGAATAACATCTTTTTAGTTGTTGGGGGTTCTTGAGCAATTAGTAGTCTCTCATCGCATCCCTCCTCAGCTGATAGTCTCTTTCTCTGGAGCCAGGTCGTCTGGTTGCCCTGATGGGGGTCGACTTTTTGCACAATCCAGAATTCGAAATCTGCAGTGTACAGTAGGGTAGGTGGCAGTAGGTGACGTAGGTGCCACGTGCTGGCGCAGGGCGCAGTGCGCAGTGCGCTGGAGACGAGCCTTGAGCCGACCTCTCCCTAAAACCCTGCTAGCGAGCAGTCAAAGCTGGACTCGTCAGAGCAGATCGCCGGCATGCTGCAATGCAATGCCCGCCCTGCGCCGACATGGTTCTAGAGCGATCGAGAGTGTGAGCACGAGCTTGATGCAGAGCTTGGCGTCGGAGCTCCTTCTCCATGCCAGGCTTGCTTCGGTCTTCATTAGGCAACTAACAAGGCTCGAGAAGGTATCCGTGGCAAGCCAGCAGGAAGTGAGCTCCCCAAGCTCAAGAAATTGTCAGTTTCAAGGGCCTGTGGCAGGTGAGAAGGCATTGAAAGCTCTTCTGTGTTCTGTGGTCTTCCCCTAAACCCTAAACCCTAAACCCTAAACCCGAAACCCGAAACCCTATAGCTATAACCCTATAACCTTTAACCCTACACCCTTGAACCAAAAAAACAAAACTTTAATAACCTGCCCTAAAACCGAAACCCTATAGCTATAACCCTATATCCTTTAACCCTACACCCTTGAACCAAAAAAAACAAAACTTTAATAACCTGCCCTAAAACCGAAACCCTATAGCTATAACCCCATAACCTTTAACCCTACACCCTTGAACCAACAAAAACAAAACTTCAATAAAACTGCCATTTGCAGACTTGGAAGGCGCAGGTTCCCCCAGCGGTCAAGCTGTCAGGAGCTGTCCCTTGCAGCGTTTTTGCAGCAAGAAGCTGCATCATCAACGCTACTCCCGCCGGGTTCAGGGTTCAGGGTTCAGGGTTTAGGGTTTAGGGTTTAGGGTTTAGGGTTGTGCTTGCTCCTCTATCACAGATGCGCTCGTTGATCAGCACCCTGTCTTGCGCATGTAATGGAAGTTCATACGAACTTGGGTGGCGAGATGGGACAGCAAGAGTTGGGAATTGACTTGTGTCACGCAGTTGTATGCAACTTCGTGTCCAGCGCGGTCTGCGCAGCAAGAAAGCTTCCTAGCAGCACTGTCGCGCGGGCGCGCGCGCGCGCGCTCTTTCAAGGCTGGTGTTCCCAAGGTAGTTTCGATTCTGTATGGCTGTTACTGGCTCGTGGGAGTCTATCGAAAAGTTCCTTCATGTTCATTCGAAACTTCTAAGTGTGAATATTGTGTGTGTCGTTCTTGAGGATCCGACAAATCATAGCTGCGTGCAATTATGCGCCGCGCCGTAGCCGTCGCTGCTGGGAGCGTTCTTGCTAGCAGGCACAGTTTTTCGTTTCACTCTGGTGCCCCCCGACTGGGAGCCCAAGCCAAGCATGTCGAACTTTGAGAACCCGAAACCCCATTATGGCCCGAAAACCACGCTGTGGAGGTGGCACCTCGCCCCCATGTTGCTCCATGTTACTCCCATGCCCAGTGCCCCATTCTTTCTCGTAGTCGAAGCCTTCGGGACGATGACCCAGCAAATTTCAAGCTGGACACCGCAAGCGCAGCGCAGAAAAGCCACCCCACAGCCCAGCTCGGCATCGCAGCTTAAGCCCGGAATCCGTTTTCAGGGTTTTTGGGTTTAGGGCTTCAAAAAAAGGATTTGGGGTCCCCAAAACACTTGAGAAACTCTAAACCATCTCTTTTGCCACCCAAAAACCCCTCTTTGATCGATCCGCTTGCGGGCCAAAGCCCAACATGCCGTTTAAGAACCCTAAACCCTGAACCCTGAACCCTAAACCCTAAACCCTAAACCCTAAACCCTAAACCTCTCACTGTCCCTAAACCCAAAGCACTAAACCCTAAAACTCCCTGCGATGCGGACTCGCCCCAGCTGTGCAGGAGGGAAACAAAGCCCTAAACCCTAAACCCTAAACCCTAAACCCTAAACTGAAATCCACTGTCCGTTACCCCGAAAAGCCACAACGCGCAGATTCCTGCGGGAAGCGCCGCGGCCCGCCTTGGCACCTGATCTGCAACAGACAACTATGATGGTACAATGTGAGGCATGTTGACATTGATTGTGTATGTAGAATGTACACACACACATATATATATATGTCTATTTATCTGGACTTATTTACTTATGAGAGCATGTATATTATACGTATATAGACATATATATATATATATATATATATATATATTACATATATACACACATAGCATTATGCATTCTATTATAATCGTACGCACTTTTTTTCAGCTTGGGATGATGAGCCTGTTGAGAGGGTGGACGCGGGTCAAGCTTAGGCATAGTTAGTGCAAGTCGAGCTGCATGCAGCAATCGCGGGCACTAGCTGGCCTCGGGAAGTTGCAGTATTGGGCTGATATTTGTGCCTTGCCTCCAAACAACACCGGGGCAGACCAGCCATTTTTCCGATATGGTACTGAGTTAGTAGGGCCCCTCTTTACACCTCCCACCAAAACAAATTGTGAAGCCTGACAGACTTTGGGGCAGCACCTGTCATGCAGCTTGTCACGCAGTTGCTGACGAGTCCCTGGTATTGAATGGGGAATGAGCTTGCACAGTCCCCGGGTTATTGAGGTACGGACGCATATTTCCCCAGCTCCCTGCTAAGAACTCGGAAGGTTGCGCATTCCCGAGGCACTTCTTTGCACCTCAATGCGTCCCTCGCATGTCTTCGACTGGAGGCCATGCTGTGATAGCCAGATAGCTTTGAACATCTGTCTTTATCAGCGCGGATTTGTAAGGTATAATATGACTTACTTTAACTGTTATTTTGTATGTATGCATGTCTGTACGTACGTACGTATGCATGTATGTATACATGGTATATACATATATATATATATGTATATGTTTATATACATTTACAGCAAACCCTAAACCCTCAGTTGCCCAGATATCAGAGAGAGCGCCGAGTACACCCTAAGCCTTGGGATGTCCCGATGAAGGACTGTTAGTAGAAGCGGGAACATCCCAACCTAAACGCTAAACCCCAAACGCTAAACGGGTGGCCCTAAACCCTAAACCCTAAACCCTAAACCTGTGGCTAGTCGGGTGGCAAAAAAAAACCCTAAACCCTAAACCCCAAACTTGCCTTCTGCAGGACTGGGAGGCTGCGGAGGACTTCGCCACCCGTGCACTGCGCATGGAGCGATGCAGCAAGGCCTCGAGTTGAGAATGAGGGTTTAGGGTTTAGGGTATGGAAGCCATGGCTCTCACCGGACCTCTTTTCCATCAGCGAAGCCTCTACACAAGAGGGTCAACGACAAACCAAAGAAGAAAAGGCTACAAACTACGGACTCATTTTGAAATTTCTGTACATGTACATACAAGGGCCCACCTTAAGTGAAGCTTACTTATCGGGGTTGGGCCTAAACCAAAATGTGGAAGCTCCCTGGAAGAGGTGCTGCGGCGGGCATACACATTGTCAAGCCGATTCACACTCCCCCTTTCGGGGGTCTCGACACCCGAAACACAAGCAATCGGCACAGCACTGGTAACAGGTTGACCGAGTCACCCTGATTATCCCTGCATCACGGATATGATGTCTTGACTGCCCTCTTCCTTGGTTAGGGTCTTAAGGTTGAAGTGGCTTCCGTTATTCAGCACCGGTGGTGCGATGTCAAAACATCTTTAGGATCTGCCGTACAGACGAGCCTCAGGCCATTTCTGAGGTACAGATCCAACAACTTTACACATGGCCTTGGGACTTCTGCTTGCCTTTGAGTTCGACAGCCTGGGGTGGCCTGCGTATCTCCCTCATAGGAGCAACCAGTAAGTCGAAAGTGGATACGCGAAAAGTGACATGGATGACTCTGCAAACAACAGAGAGATTTCATCCATCCGTCCCTTTATGCCCTTGGGCTTATAGGGAGACACAAAAGGAAAAAACGTGTGATGTTGATACGGGTAGTCAGAATACCCGACAACATGTTCAACTTCTCCACAGGTATGGCAGTCAGAATGCCTTGTGGAGCCCTCCGTTTTACCACCGGTATGGCAGTTGGAATGCCTGGTGGTATCCTCCGTTTTACCACCGGTATGGCAGTTGGAATGCCTGGTGGTATCCTCCATGCATAAAATTAGACTGCAAGGATTCAAACGGTCCTGATGGACTTGAGGACTTATCCCTTTATGCCTAGCAGGCTTACAGGGGAAGGGCTTGCGTCAGTCCTGGATTGGCACTGGCCAGACCAAAAGGAATCCTCTTGGCTGAATTCTCAGCTCCAACGGGACTGTCATCCAATGGTCTTTGGTCTGGCAAAGACCTCGAAGGGGATAGCCCTCTAGGTGGAGCTCTTGTAACACGTCTTTGCCCAGCACCCCAGTCGCAAAGCTCCGAAGACGAAGATCCGATGTAAGAACCAGACCTCGTCCACTGGGCGGCGTTTCACGAAAAAGCTTCGTTGGTCTTGTTGGATCACAGTGTTGGCACGACCGCTCTGTGTACTGTGACCTTTCTAGAAGACATTTTAGCAGAGAATGGTCCACCTCTGCTTGACAGCCTTCTGGATCTGGCTCAAACACAATTTCAAGCTCGGACCCAGGAACAACATGGCTCAGCTGTTCCTTCATCACAGGAGGAAAGGATATAAGGCGGTTATCAGGGTTCGGCAAATGTCTCATCAATCTGTCAAGCCGGAAACCACTCCTCCAAACTAACAGCACGCATTCCAGAATGCGTCGAGTGCAGTGGACCCTTATTGGTGTCTCCGTTTCCCCTTGTATAGTGATTATCCTATACGCTGCGTCGTCTGGGTCTTCGCTCAGCTTTAGCCTTGCCCTATAACCCTCCCTTTGGATTGGTCCGGATGTTTCGGCTGTCGTTGCACTCACCACAAGCCTGGCAGCAGCTGACGCTGGCTCTTGTTGGCGGTGGAAGTTCAAGGGCTCTGGACGGCTTTCTGACTTTACACCGAGTGCTGCATCGAAAACCTCTGTCTTATTGATACCCTCCGCGGCAACCACTTTAGG